AAGTCTTCAGCTTTGTTCATCTGAGCATTCAGGAACATCTAGCGGCTCTTTATGTGCACCTCTCCTGTATTAACAAAAGTATAAATCAGTTTAACTTTGCTGCCAAACAGAGTTTGTGGTCCAAAACTAAATTCATGTTTAAAACTGTTGCACTATCTGAGCTGCATCAGCGAGCTGTAGTTGAGACTTTACAGAGTAAAAATGGACATCTGGATCTTTTCCTGCGGTTTCTTCTGGGTCTGTCAGTGGAGTCTCATCAGATTCTCCTACAAAGACCACTGAAACTAAAAAGAAGATCAATCAAGAATAATAAAACAGTCGAGTACATCAAGAAGAAGATCAGGACCATCGACTCTCCAGAGAAATCCATCAATCTGTTTCACTGTCTGAATGAACTGGGTGATCATTCACTAGTGGAGGAAATACAGCAGTATCTGAAATCTGGAGGAATAAATGAAGCCAAACTCTCCTCATCTCAGTGGTCAGCTGTAGCGTTTGTGTTGTTGACATCAGAGAAGAAGCTGGAGGAGTTTAATATTAATGAATTTGTTGCTGAAAACAATAAAACTGAAAAACTGGTAATTTTTAAGAAGCTGCTGCCCGTGATTAGAGAATGCAGATCAGTTCAGTAAGTATTACTAGCTCTGATTTTATCCCTTTTTTAATGCACATTGAAAGTATCACACCAGAATCAGGTGATGAATGTACCAAAGTCTAAAAGATTTTTTTTACACTAACTCAAGTTGTTATGAATTTTTTTTCCTTCATTTTGTTTGCCGTGTTTAATTTTACGTTAGGTTATTAGGTTATCAATGTCAAGTAAATTCATAAACAATTATAATTTTTCAGAGTAAAATTTTAATAAATGGAAATGGAAGTGTCAAATTCAGATATACAATCATATTTTTACACTAACTCAAGTTGGTTTTTGACTCAGATTTAATAATGGTTGAAGGATAATCATTTGCTGAATAAATTCTGACGTAGTGAACATTAAACCCATGATTTCTGTGCGTACAGTAGCTTAACAGTCATTATGAATTTTAGTATTTTCTTTATTTTGTTTGCTATGTTTGATTTGCTATTTGTTATTAGGTTATCAATGCCTAGTAAATTCATAAACAATTAAATTTGAATAAATGTAATATATAATATATAATATTTAATGATGACTAAATCAGAACAAGCAGAACTGTGAATAAAAGTCTTCATTGGTGGAACCAGAACTATGAATGAACACAACAGAATGAATGAATTAAAGTCGAGTGTACATGAGCGGGTAAATCCAAAACAAAGAACAAAAGAAAACTGCTGTCAGGATGTCTAATTAACCAGAGTGTTTCTGTCTCTGCAGCTCTGCTTAAATACTGACTCCATTTTAATAATTGATCAACGGCTGGTAGATGAAGTCAAATAGATCAGGACAAACTGATCTCCAGTTGAAATGTAGACACAATTATAGTGTTTTGAACTGTAAATTGTACATGGTTAACAATTGAAGCCAAGAAGGGCCACAAAAAGGCGGCTGTAATTTCACTACATTTCTCAAATATTTGCAAACAATTATTAGATTATCAGACATATTTGCAGGAGCGAATCCCTCCGTCGTGAGTGAAAATTATTGTGACAATGGTAAATGCTGATTTGTTTATGTTTTTTGTTCATGCACAGCTTTTTTGTACAGAAGCGAGCCAATGTGAGGCAACAAATCTGATGTGAGAGAGTGAAGAGTGTGTCGTTGTTCTCTACAGGTTGTATAATTGTGGTCTCACAGGTGAAGGTTGTGCTGCTTTGGCTTCAGCTCTGATATCAAACCCAGAACACCTGACAGATCTGAATCTGTCCAGGAATAATCTAGGAGATTCAGTGACTCTTCTCTCTGCTGTACTGGAGGATCCTCACTGTAAACTGGAGAAACTGTGGTAAGATCATATTTGACTCTCACATGTGAAACAGTGTAAAGTATATATGTTTATTGCTTTAATTGAAATTTTTAATGTCTATTTTTTTATATCTTGGTTGAACATTTTAAAAGTAGAAAGACTGTTTGCTTGATTTTATTTTGCAATTTGCTTATTGCATTGAATTAAAAAATTAAAAAAGTTTTTTTTCTTCTTTTAACTCGCATTCACAATCAATAGTATAGTACATTCACTCAATCAGAAGTTTAGCATCATCAAGATCTTTCAATCTTAATTTTTTAAATGTATGTCAATGTTGAAAGCATTTTTCTAAACTAGTAGATTTTTTGACTTTACAGGATTTTTTGATGAATGCAATGCTAAAAAAACAGGATTTATTTTAAATTCATTCATTCATTGATTTTCTTTTCGGCTTAGTCCTTTTATAAATCTGTGGTCGCCACAACGGAATGAACCGCCAACTTATACAGCATATGTTTTACTCAGCAGATGCCTTTCCAGTTGCAACCCATCACTGAGAAACACCCATACACGTCCATACACTACGGACAATTTAGCTTACTAAATTCACCTGTACCGCATGACTTTGGACTTGTGGGGAAAACCGCAGCATGTGGAGGAAACCCACACATCAACACAGGGAGAACATGCAAACTCCACACAGAAATGCCAACTGACCCAGCCGAGGCTCGAACTAGTGACCTTCTTGCTGTGAGGCGACAGCGCTACCCACTGCGCCACTATGCTGCCCCTATTTAAAATTCTAAATAAAATTAAGATAAAAAAATATTGATTTTACAGTTGGTTTTAATCAATTTATTGTGTTTTCATGATTAAAAAATATCTTTAAAAAGTATAATGTTGTTATTAATAACAACAACAATAATATTAAATGTTTATATTGTAGTAATATCTCCTAATGTTTTAATAAGTTTTTTGTTATAATGAAATAACACTTCATTATTGAGCCGTAAAGAGACTTTTGTCAAAAACATTAAAAACTTTAATTATCCCAAAGTTCCCATTGCTTGTGTTCATATTTCTACTGATATAAACAGCACAGCATATTTCAGCAATGTTAACATTGTGTGAACAGCGTCATTATTTCAGTGATTTTGCTATTATCTTATTATTTACATTGAATAGATGTTTATCCTGCTTGAATAAAACTTTCTACTGATGATCATGTTTTGTTCTTTGTGGCATTTTAGACCTCAGTCTAATGATCCATCAGACATGTTCATTCGTGCTTTAGTTTGTACTTAAACTTTAATAATAGATTCACTGAACTGATGTGATGTGAGAGGGTAAAGAGTGTGTCATTGTTCTCTACAGGTTGAGTTATTGTGGTGTCACAGATGAAGGTTGTGCTGCTTTGGTTTCAGCTTTGAGATCAAACCCTGAACACCTGAGAGAACTGAATCTTTCTGGGAATAATCTAGGAGATTCAGTGACTCTTCTCTCTGCTGTACTGGAGGATCCTCACTGTAAACTGGAGAAACTGAGGTAAGATCATATTTGACTCTCACACGTTTAAAACAGTGTAAAGTATATCCATCCCTTCATCAATGCATTATCTGTTTCTTACCCGGGTCCTGGAGGCAGCAGTTTCAAAAACATAAAAATCTTAATTATCCCAAAGTTTTCACTGATCATATACACATTACTACTAAAATAAACAGCACAGCACATTTCAGCAATGCTAACAGTGAGAACAGAGTCATATGGAAAATAATTAAAATAATTGGTGACAATTGACAAATAAGTTTAGTTCATGCACTGCACACACACACAAGTAAATATTCATCTTATTATTTACGATAAATAGCTATTTATCCTGATGGAATGATTGGTGTGTTCTGATCATGTTTTGTCATCTGTGACATTTTAGTTAATCAAACATGTTGATTTGTGTCATTAGTTTGTACTTTTATTAATAAATTCAATGTTAAAAACGGATGTGATGTGAGAGAGTGAAGAGTGTGTCATTGTTCTCAACAGGTTGTATTATTGTGGTCTCACAGATGAAGGTTGTGCTGCTTTGGCTTCAGCTCTGAGATCAAACCCTGAACATCTGAGAGATCTGGATCTGTCCTGGAATAAACTAGGAGATTCAGTGACTCTTCTCTCTGCTGTACTGGAGGATCCTCGCTGTAAACTTGAAAAACTGGAGTAAGATCATATTTGACTCACATGTGAAACAGTGTAAATGATATATTTATTGTTTTAATTGAAATGTCAATGTTTATGCTTTTTTTCTTGGTTGGATATTTTATGAAACAAAGGAGAAGGAATGTTTTCTTGGCTTTTTTTTGCAATTTGATAATTGCGTAGCATCAAAAAAAATAGTTTTCTTTTAACTAATATAAATCCCAGCTCTCACAATCAACAACACATTCACTCTCAGTCAAATTTTAGGATTTTCAATCTTTACAAATTTTAATTAATGTCAATTCTGAAAGCATTTTGGAGAAAATAATAGCTTTTTTAAAACCTTTTTAAGGATTTTTTGATGAATGAAATGTTGAAAATTACAGGATTTATTTCAAATTAAAAATAAAAGGTTAAAGCAAAAATCTATATTTTAGAGTTGGTTTTAATCAATTATTGTGTCTTCATGAATGAAAATATATTTATACACAAAGTATAAAGATAACAACAATAATAATAGTAATAAATGTTTAATTGCAATAATATTTTACAATATTTTTTTTTTGATTATTTTAATTATTTTGTTTGGGAAAATACGAAATAATCTCTGGCATAATTAAAAACCTTAATTATCCAATAGTTTTTACTGGATGTTAACATATTTGTACTTATCTAAACAGCACAGCTAATTTCAGCAATGCTAAAGGAGAGAACAGTGTCATTATTTCAATGATTTAGTTTATCCTGCTTGAGTAAAACTTTCTGCGTATCATGTTTTGTTCTCTGTGACATTTTAGACCTCAGTCTAATGATCCATCAAATATGTTTATTTGTGCTTTTAGTTTGTACTTAAACTTTAAGCTAGATTCACTGAACTGATGTGATGTGTGTGAGTGAAGAGTGTGTCATTGTTCTCTACAGGTTGTATAATTGTGGTCTCACAGATGAAGGTTGTGCAGCTTTGGCTTCAGCTCTGAGATCAAACCCTGAACACCTGAGAGATCTGAATCTGTCTGGGAATAAACTAGGAGATTCAGTGACTCTTCTCTCTGCTGTACTGGAGGATCCTCGCTGTAAACTGGAGAAACTTTGGTAAGATCATATTTGACTCTCACATGTGAAACAGTGTAAAGTATTTGTGAAGTGTTGAGTCTCTTTCTGCAGCTTCTCTGCTCTTCATTATTTCAACATTTATTTTGTCTGTCTATATTAAATAAGTAAAGATAAAAACACATAAATTGCTGAAAAAATGGGATGGTCAGATTATTTTCGTTTTAGAATTTATTTTAATTCATCAGTGGACATTTTATCCAACAGTCGGTGACTGAATAATACAGTAAATGTACAGTAGGACACAGGAGGTGTTGATGTCCAGATTGTGACTCAGACAGGCTGATTTGACTGATATCCATTATTGTTTCTGATGGAGAAACACAATCACCATGAGCTCAGTGTTATTATGCTGATAGAGCTGAACACACAGCAGCACTGAGCTCTCATCTAGACATTTACAGTGGACAAGATTGACAAATCAACATTGCAGCCGGTTTGATTTGATTGTAATCTCTTCAGTATCAGACAGGCCTTTAGTGTTTCACATCTCAGAGACTGAAAGCTCTTTTAGTCAAGCGCCATTGGCTGACTGCAATAATTAAAGTGACAAATGATTTGTGTTTTATCATCACTAACATGATCAGACTAAAGTTGTTTACTTGTTTTATAAAGAATTATTCATATTATTTTGATCATCTGAGAGTTGATTGTTGAAAACATTTAAATCATTTTATTCTGCTTAATATTTTAGTGGAAACTGCAATATATTTCACTTTCAGGATCCTTTGATGAATAGAAAGTTCAGAATAACTGCAACTGTTTGACTAAATCTTTCCAACAATGCAATATTTTACAGTCATTTCTGATCCATTTATTGTGTCTTTAATGAATCTAAATATTATTTACATCTTTAATGACACTTTTGAATGCTGATTATATTTTAAATATGAAAGAGCAAAACTGGTTCAACATTGATCAAAGCAAATCAGCTTATTATAATGACTGTAGTCTAGAGAGAAATAGAGAAAAGAGCTATTTTATTATCTAATAAATTAAACTTCTTTTTGTTCAGTTAATCAGTGCTGTAAACAGAGACATTAATTATAAAAGACTTTGCCCGAGAGAGAAGTTTGACAAAAAGCAATGACACTTCACAGATATGAATATATATTAATTTATTCAGCCAGGATCAGATGTTTGATGTTTTATGATCATATTTTGTGTTTTGTGACATTGAAGACCTCAGTCCAATAATTCAACTCATATATTTATCTGTGCTTTTAGTTTGTGCTTTAGTAATGGATTCTCTGTTAAACTGATGTGATGTGAGAGAGTGAAGAGTGTGTCATTGTTCTCTACAGGTTGAGTGATTGTGGTCTCACAGATGAAGGTTGTGCTGCTTTGGCTTCAGCTCTGAGATCAAACCCTGAACACCTGACAGAACTAGATCTGTCCTGGAATAATCTATCAAAATCCACAGTGAGGCTGTTCTCTGATCTGAAGGACAACCCACATAATAAACTGAAAACATTACACATTTGTAAGTATGATACATAAAATTGTAAAGTTTTCTTGAGTTCAGTATCAGACCTCATGTGTGTAAATGGAGAATATGTAAAAATAATTCAGCTTCTTTTTAGTCTGTGCTTTAAACTGTTAAGTTTGTAAACTCTTTTGTTTTTTTCTGAAATGGATTTGCTGATGTGATTTGATTCATATATGACTGTGTGTGTGTGTGTGTGTTTGTGTGTGTGTGTGTGTGTGTGTGTGTGTGTGTGTGTGTGTGTGTGTGTGTGTGTGTGCGCGTGTGTGTGTGTGTGTGTGTTTTATTGCAGGACTCTCTGTGTTTAGTGTGCTCATGAACTGCTAAAGGTGCTGTATTGATAATTGGATTTTTCACAAATATTAACATCCAGGGGTGGACTGGCCATCTGGCAGGCCAATCAGCTTCCCATTCGTTTTTTCCCATTAAACTGTAGGAGATCATCTTCAAGACAGGATTTTCAGAATGAAATGTGGACTAAATTTATACTAAAATCTAAGAGAAACACTAGTTTTAGCTGAGTTTCTTTATGAAGATCTGCTCATGTACAGTAGGAGTAGAAGTGAAGTGAAGTGACTTGTCATGGTTTTATGCTAACTTAAAATTTGTCCTTTGTGTTTAACCCATCCATGTGTGCACATTGTTATGTAAGAAGAGAAAAAGCTGTTACTATCGGACATTGTTTACTTCACTGAGTCATTTTAGTAGTCACGGGATTGATCTAATAGTCCTATTGGTTGATAATCAGGCTTCCTTTTAAAGGTATTTTGTAGTAATTAAAATAAAAAATACTGTATTTTTTATTTTGATGCATTTTGTGGCTTCTGTATTTTGTAGTTCATTTTGAATCACTTAAAGCTGATATTTGGTATTTTATTTTATATTTAATGTATTTTAGCCCATCCCTGCTATCATACAGTATGATTCTTACTGTGACAGAGGAATAAACTATCTAATGTATTACAGAAACTGGCTCACAGCATCCTGTGTAAATTTTCATTAGTAGATCAAATCTGTCATTCAGTATTCAATCTCAAAACACCTGTGAGAACTAAAGGAGTTGCCCAGTTGTGAAGTAAACATGATCTGCAGCCAGTGTTGGGGAAAAGGTAATATATTACGATTTAAGCCTAATTCTTACTATTTCTTTTTTTTTTTTAAAAAGCGCAAAAATAACATTTCACCGTACTTTAATTAAAAAGTAACACATTTAGTTGACAAAAACGGTCTCTAATCAGAAATTATGTTTTCAAAATTCTGAAACCAAGGATGAGTTCAGCTCGTTCATGGTCATGTTAAAAACCCTCTCAGATTCTACCAATTCAATTTTATCCAATGATTGTTTTGGTTTAATGTGTTTTTTTTTTTTCTATAATAATTTAATCATATTTTATTGATATGTGCAAATATATGTTAAAGGCTGCCCGAGCGCGAGCAGCATCAGCATCAGTTTGCGTTTCATTGTAGTTAAACTCCTCCGGTCTTTCTGTTCTTTCTCTTTCAGGCCCGCGAGAACATTCAGCGAGATGCTCAAAATATTCCAAAATTTAACAGCAGAATCAGGAAAAGGCATCAGAGATTATGGTAAGATACTCTGAGAGAGAGTGTGAGAGAGTTTCCTCAACCGAAAGCTTTCTTTGACATGTCTGAGTTAAATGACAGGCAAATATTCACCATGTATGTTCTCCAAATTGATCCCATATCGTGCCACAGGCCTTTAGCCACTGTTTATTAAATATTATAAAAAAAGATAACTTTTTACGATAAATACTTAAATTATTTTTAAGGTAAGATCTGTTTTAGAAAAGTTGTGGCCCCACCTGGTGGACATTTATTAGAAATACAGACTGGTACATTTAACACCAAAGGGGTTTTCAATATTTTAATTGCCTCCGCCCTCCATATATATCGTCCAGCGAGGGATAACGAAATTACCCAAATTTTAAAAGTTAATCTGTAGATTGTTTTAGTCTTTTGGGGATTAAATAAATTTGTGTGTGTTTATGCAAAAACTTCAACGCCCTCTAGTGGCAACTAGTGATTTCCAAACATCTTGCAATGAGAAACCTTTAATGTTTCCAGTGCAGATCAATATAATATGTTTGGCTAACTGAATCTTTATTTCTATTTTATTATTATTATTTATTTTTATTTTTTACATTTTTTTAAAATGAAGGCGAATGCCTAACTTCACTGTGCCTAACCACCGAGCGTAATATGACGTCACCATCCCGACGTCACAAATACATAAGGTGCGTTCGACTTCATGCAGCGCTGCGCAGATCGATCGAAATCTGTCTTAAAGCGGTGCATTCTGGTTAGAAATCTTGTCCGGATTGATGCTGCGTCGACGCCACGTGACTGTCACATGTGGCATCAAAGTACCGCGACAGCGCTCCGAGATCAGACGGCAAACTCAGACCATGCAGCTTCTGAAGAGGGACTGCAGGAGCTTTGATGACGACACCGATATTACACGATTGGCCGAGTTCACCACATGACAACAAACACGTGTATTTCGGGTTTATAATTGGACAAATTCCGATTCAAAAGTTTCAAAACAAACAATTCACTTTTCACACCCTCTCTATCCTGTACACATCTTGCTTATTAAAAGACTACAAATATTTTACTGCAGTATCATCTTTTGTTAAATAATATGGTTATAAAGGTTAGCTTGTTTGCACAGGTTTATTTTTTTACTTTTTTATACAGACTATTTACTGCATTCATCTCCATGAACGATTTAAATGATATATTTTAGTGTATATTTTAGTGAATAACCTAAATATGAACTCAAATAAGTCTTACAGACTTGAAATAAAATAATCATCATCATTGATCCTGCCCCCCTAAAGCTCTCTTAACAAATTAAAGTAAAGAACTATTTTATTAAATAATTATAAAATGGTTTTATTATTATAATATAAATATATATTTTATTTCCTGTCTTGCAGTTTAAAGGCTACCTGCTCTTTCTGGGAAACTTCTACATAGCTCACTTATTTTACCTTTTGTTCTTTTCAACACAATCTTTTTGGATTAAAATGCTTTTTTGAAAATTCATTCATTATCCAAAATAATGTCATTTATTAAGACCTAATCAAAACCCCTTGTTTTGCTTTTTACATGGGAAATTTTTATATCTATAAATGTACATATATGTAAACCCTTTTTTTAGCAGATTCAAACAAGAAGTATTAGCCTAAAGATTGATGTTTAACTCCTAGTATTTATGCTTATTGCTTTGTATTTAATAGACCTGTTCGTTTTTATGTTTATATTAACCTCTCATTTCCTCTTATTTCTCTCATGCATTTGTTATATATTTTATTCATAATTCTCCCTTATTGTTTAAAAAGGAACTACAGTTTGAAGAGCCTGTATTCTGTTTTATTTGTAAATGTTTTGTTGCTATAAATAAAAATAACAAAAAAATATGATGACGCCATGTGATCGGTCATCATGACTGCAGCAACTTTGAGTCCCGAAGTGTCCAGCTGTCCGTCTTGACGGCTCCGTTTTCAACTCCGCCCCGCCTGCGCTCGGCTAATCTCGTTGATCACCGGCTGCAGCTGAGCTTCATGTCGAACGCACCTAAAGTCAAAGCAAAGTTGAGTCGTCGAGTTGATCCGTTAGTCTTCATTATGGAGCATCACAATAGTTCACATGAACTTTTATAACAGCAAACCAGGAGTTTACATGCTAGTTGAAAGACAGAGGATTAAAACTCCATCAACTCAGTCTTAACGCAGGTCTTCAGTTTATAACAGGTTGTTAGGTGAGTGAAACAGGAAACTGCTACTTTTTTGTCGAATGTAAATATGATTTAAATGTCTTTGATATTTTATGTTTATAAAAGTGTTTAACATAAAGCTTTATAAACCTTAATACATTTTGCGTTAGCCTGCTCTTCTCGGAGTTTGACAGTCAATGCATTGTTCCAGACAGCACACATAGATTGCAACAATATCTAACTGCAGACCCGCAGAACCACACGTTTCTAGCACACACGATCTAGTTCAAGATCTAGCACACACGATCTAGGGCAACCATATATCGTTACGACGGATGTTAATGTTTATAGTGGCACACCTTTCGTGCAAATCCTTATGTACCACCTTTTGCAGCTTCAATTCCAACAACCAGTATTTGCAAAAACGCGAGTAAGACCGAATCTTCTTTTAAAAAAGGTTTACTGAACAAATGCAAACAAAAATACAAAGTTACAATAGACTCGATCAGCTCGGTCAAAAAACTGTGTTGCTTCCAACATCCCTAACTGCAATCTGCCTAAAACGTATGAACTAATGACCTCATGACGTATTACTGTCGGAAGCCAAAATACCAAATTAAAGGTTTTTAAATTATATAAATTACTAAATTATGCATTTTAGATAATACAATCACAATGAATTCTTATTAAATTTAAATATCAATTTTTATCATGTTTTAACCTTCACTAAATTATTATCACAAATGAATTATGCATAACTGGCTCTTACATTACCCGGCCCCTAATTGTTAGGCTGGAGGACTAATCAATTACAACTAAAAACATTAAGAGCCAAACAACTTAAACTTCAAATGTGTGTAAAGATCAACTTGTCTTTCTTTGTTACTCGCCCAACGTTGCCTCTTTCAACAGGCACAGTTTATTTACGGGTCTTTCCAAAGTGCTGGTTCTGGTCTTCAATTTCACTCTCCGCACCATTCCAGTGGAATCTGGCAGTGTTTCAACTATTTTCCCCATTACCCAAGAGTTGCGGGGAGATGAACTGTCCACCAATAGCACCACATCTCCAATCATGAAGTTTCTGCTGGGTTTCATCCATTTCTGACGCTCCTGAAGAAGTGGAAGATATTCTCGCGTCCATCTAGTCCAGAATAAATCGGCAAGATACTGAACTTGCTTCCATCTTCTTCTTGCATATGTGTCATCTTTGCAGAAGATGCCTGGGGGCATGATTGGTTGAGATTTCAGAAGCAGTAAGTGATTGGGAGTTAAAGGCTCAACGTCGTTTGCATCATCTGAGACACTTGTGAGAGGCCTGCCATTGATGATACTTTCAACTTCACACATTATCGTCTGAAGACAGTCATCATTAACTGTTTGCTCCTTCAACAGGGAATTAAGAATTCTTCGAGCCGTCCGGATTTGTCTTTCCCAAATACCGCCTTGGTGAGAAGCAGCTGGGCTATTGAATATCCATTTTATTCCTTTGGGCTGTAAAGCTCTTTCGATCTTATAATTGTCCAGCTGTTGAATAGCTTCCCTTAATTCTCTTTCAGCTGCCACAAAGTTTGTACCATTGTCAGATCTCATGATGGTGACTTGACCTCTCCTACATATAAAACGGCGAATTGCGTTGATGCAGGAGTCCGTGTCGAGGCTGTCAGCTACTTCAATGTGCACAGCTCTGAGCGTTAGACAAGTGAACATTACCCCATATCTTTTAAGGGTAACCCGGCCCCGTTTAACCTCAAACGGACCGAAGAAATCAACACCGGTGTTGGTAAAAGGAGGTTGGTGTGGGAGGAGCCGATCTTCAGGTAGGTTTGCCATCTTTTGCTCACCAACCTTTCCAGACATCCTACGGCATACTGTGCATGTGTTGATTATTTTTCTGATAGCAGAATTAGCTTGTGGAATCCAATATCTGCATCTTAGTTGTGCCAACACATAGTTACGTCCACAATGTCCTGTTCTTTGATGTATGTCCCTCAAGATCAAAGTTGCAACTTTGCTGTGTTTAGAAAGAATCGCAGGATGTTTAGCCTTTTCCGGCATAGCTGATTTGTTCAGTCTTCCACCAACCCTTAACGTGCCGTCGTAAATCACTGGATCTAATTTAGACAGTGCACTACTGCGAGTGAGTTGCTTTCCCTCCTGTAGTACCTTGATTTCCTCTCCAAAATGCTGTCTTTGACTGAACTGTATGATTTCTAATTCAGCAGTGTCCAGATCATCCAAGGTAAGTGATTCTTTTACTTCAGCAGTTTTTAGTTTCTTCATAAGTTGCATTAATTTTGATCTTTGCTTTTCAGGGTCTTTTACAGCTTGCTTGTTTTTTAAAGCCTCTTTTCTTTCTGTTTTTTGTTTCCACAGATAACTCTTCACTTTTCCTATCCAAGCCACTGCTCGTTTAAGCTTACTCCAATCCGAATAATAGTTGATCAGCTGTTTCATTGGTTCTACATTCTCTTCTACTTTAACTGTGTTAACAACAATTGTATTTTTGACCTCTGGGTCATTGGCAAGGCTTTCATTCCTTATCACAGGTTGTTCCGGCCAATCCTCTTCATGCAACAGAAAGTCTGGTCCACTTATCCATGTTCCCCCTTGCGCTAAGCTTTTCGCCTTCAGGCCTCTGCTGGCTTGATCTGCAGGGTTTTCATTTTTTCCGACATATTTCCATTGCGATGACTTGGTTGCTTCTCGGATCAAGGAAACTCTGTTTGCAACAAACGTTTTGAAATGAGCAGTTTCACTGTCGATGTATCTGAGCACCGTAGTGCTGTCTGTCCAAAAGACAGATTGTTGCAATGGAACCTGAATCTCTTGATGCAACATCTTGTCAACTTTCAAAGCGACAACCGCTGCTGTCAACTCAAGTCTTGGGATTGTGACTCTTTTGAGTGGAGCCACTCTTGACTTCCCCAAAAGGAAAGTGCAGTGTTTCTCACCCCGTTCATTCTCCAACAGTAGGTAAGACACAATGCCGTATGCATATTCTGATGCGTCTGAAAAATGATGTAATTGCGCTGTAATAGTGCATCCAAACTTGGTGGGTTTAACGCATCTACTCACGTGAAAGTTGGAAAGGTGAGTAACATCTTTCATCCATCTTTCCCAATCCTCTGCGTGCTTTCCATCAATGTTTTCATCCCACCCACGCTGCTCTTTGCAAAGATCCTTTAATAGAAGTTTGGCATGCAGAATGACTGGGGCTAAAAAGCCGAGAGGGTCGTAAATGGAATTGACGATCGATAAAATCCCCCTTCTAGTCATTGGTCTATCTTGCAGCTTTATACTGAAGGTGAAAGTATCATTTTCTGTGTCCCACTGCACACCAAGTGTCCTCTCAACTGGCAAAGCATCGCGTCGTAAATCCAGATCTTTGACTTCACTGGCTCTGTGCTCCTCCGGAATTGACAGTAACACATTTCTGCTATTGCTCATCCACTTTGTTAGGGTGAACCCTCCACTGCTGCACAAAGCTCGTAGATCACTGACTAAGTTTACTGCAACGTTTTCTGTAGTTACACTTCTCAGGCAATCATCTACATAAAAATTTCGCAGTACTGTCTGAACAGCATCTGGTGATGCAGCATCCTTGTGATCCTCTGCAGTTCTTCTCAGTGCATATGAGGCTACACTTGGAGAAGAAGTAGCTCCGAAGAGGTGCACTGTCATTCTGAACTCCTCCACTTGCTCATCCAATCTACCGTTGGGCCACCATAGAAAACGGAGCAAGTCTGCATCATGTTCTGGCACTTTCACTTGATAAAACATCGACTCGATGTCTGCCATTACTGCTACAGGCTCCTCTCGAAATCTAAGAAGGACACCAATCAATGAGTTGGTCAGATCAGGCCCCTGAAGCAGCTCACTATTCAGGCATTTACCCTGATACGAGGAGGTGCAGTCAAATACCACCCTTAACTTTCTTTTCTTTGGGTGGTAGACACCATGGTGAGGTATATAAAACACCCTGTTGTCATCTCTGTTCAGTTGGTCTGTGGGAACCTGGACAGCGTAGCCCTTATTGATGATGGTTTCCATAAAACTTGTGTAGTCATTAAAGAATTCAGCATTTTTTTTCAACTTTCTGAGCAAACAAGTTAAACGCTGTTCTGCCACACAGCGGTTATTAGGCATTTGCAGGTTCTTATTCCTGAGTGGCAATCCAATGCTATAATGCCCATTCTCAAAGATTGCTGTCTTCTCTACAGACCTCAAAAATTGCTTGTCTTCTACAGACATCTCCTCCTTGTCGTCATATTTGCGCTCTGGAAAATCAGTATTGTACTGCTGAACCAGTAACTTTTCAATGTCCATCAGAGATATTCTGTTAACAGAGAAATGAGATGGTTCATTTTCTGAATCCTTCAGTTCCTTCCTTACAGGACCATTCACCACCCAACCTATAGCCGTCTTCACTGCATAAGGACCTCCATCTTGACTATTAATGATGCGCCAGGGCTCCATGGCTCTTGAACAGTTAACTCCGATAAGCAGACCTACATCAGCTTCTATTTCTGGTAAGCTGACTTCCTGAAGGTAAGACCACTCTTGAATATCTGACTGTTTGGGTATATTCTCAGCATGCACAGGTATGCTGCTATGAGTGAACACTTTGGGTAGCTCAATGAACATCGTGTCTTCGAGCCCGCACACTTCTAAGTCTGATATCACAAAACTGTTCATTAGCGTTTGTTCTCCTGATGTATCTTTGCCCATAGTGCTAAGAAGTATTCTTGTGGGTTTCCCTTTAACATTCAATTTCCTTTGTAGGTCTTCCGTGCAGAATGATGCTGTGCTTCCCGGGTCCAGAAAAGCATATGTTTCTATATGCTTATTACTATTCTTTGATTTGACTTTCACGGGTACTATTGATAGCACACATTCAGTTTCTCCGGCTCCGGTAAGACCACATGACTCTTGTGTGATGGGAACTTCCATACTTGACACTTCTTTACGCTGAGCACCATCTTTATTTTCTGATGGGACAGAACTTTCTTCCTTCACTTTGTGCAAAATGTCAGGGTGCTTTAATGCACATTCTTTGCACTCTAACTTTCGTTTGCAGAATTTACTGAGGTGTCCTGGAACCAAACATCCAAAGCATAAGCCCTTTGCTCTCAGAAATTCCACTCGTTTTTCATGTGGCTGACATTTAATTTTACTGCATGAAGCAAGAGTGTGAGACTGCTGGCAGTACAAACATGGTTTAGCAAAGGCATTTGCTGGTTTAATTATGTTAGGAGGCTTGATAGGTATTTCTTGAGGTGCTTTACTTTCAGTAGCAACACTAATCGCAAAACTGCTTCCTCGAACCTCTTTCCTTGCAGGCTGCTTTTCCCTTAGACCCAGCTTTCCAGCTGTGTTTGGGCGGCTGTCTGAGATGTTACCAAACAGAGGATCTATAGCTATCTTGGCCTGGCGGTCTATGAAACTCACCAAATCTGCAAACCTTGCTCTTCTACCTCTTCGTTCTTTAAGTTCGAAAGCTTCAACACGCCATCTTTCTTTAAGTTTGTAAGGCAGTTTGGATATCACTGTCCTCATGTTGGTAGGATTATCCATTTCTTCTAAAAATTCAATATCCTCCATAGAGTTACGACATCCAATCAAAAACATTGCGTAAGCATTTAATGCTTTCCCATCATCTGTTCTCACTTGTGGCCATTTGAGTGCCTTCTCTATGTATGCATTGGCAGTCACAAGTTCATCTCCATAATGCTTATGAAGTAACTTCTTAGCCTCGTGATAACCTTTGCTAGGTGGCATGTGAGCACAGCTACGAACGAGTTCTTGAGGCTCACCGTCTGTAAACTGCTCCAAAAAGTATAATTTATCTTGATCATTTTCTGTCTTCTGCTCAATTACATGTTCAAATGCCCTCATGAAGGATTTGTACTGGAGTGCATCACCTTTGAACACTGATATGTCTTTTGTTGGCAACTGAGAAAGCTGTTGTTGCTTTACTAGTAGCTCAGTAATTACATTCTGCCTTTGCATGATTGTCAAAATGTCATCACTTCTATTATTCTGAGTTATAAGACTTTGATGAGAGACTGGTTGTGGCTGCTGTGGTATTTGTGAGGGCTGCATTCGTGCTGGTACATGAACATTTACATTAGCTTGTGTCGGTAGCGTAATGCTTACTCTTTCCTTCTTCACATTCTCACTTGATATTTTACGCACTGATGCATAACTATTCATACCATCTTCAGACCTCTCATACTCTTTGAGCACTTTTAATTTTGCTTGGCTTTCAGCTAGCGCAGTCTCCATTTCTAATTCTTCTTTTTCAGCCTTAATTCTAGCTGTTTCCATCTCAAACTGCTGCTTAATCCTTGCCACCTCAAATTCAAGCTCTCGCTTTTTCTTCATCGCTGATGCACGTTCCAGCAGAGCAGCATGTTCTGCTTCCTGTTTAGCACGTGTAGATGATAAATATGAAGTGCTTGATGTACGACTTACATGAGATCCACATGAGTGAGCTTTGGCACCACTGCTGACCCCTATCTGGGAGATACTGTCACTTGGTAAAACAGCCTCTTGATGCTCATTTATTCCATCATGATTTTCTGACTGCTCAGTTTCTTTCTCCATAGATTCTTGCATATCTGCAACCCATGTTTTAGTTGTTTTTATGAAGTCTTTAAACATCACCATTTTTGGCTCAAACCAATCAACATGGTCAAACATTTTTTCTTCTTCAGTCCACAAATTGCCAACTTCTTTATTAAGTGTAATGAACTCATTTAGATACTGCTCAAAATCACTTTCCAACATATCCTTCACTTCTTGTACATTTTGAGTATCTCTCTTCATTGTCTCTATCTCCTTCATTTTGTCTGTTAGAGCTCGCAAAGTTTGTTTCCTTTTTGCTATGAGCCGTCGCAATCTCTCCTCTAATCCCTTCTCTGTCAGTTTACGTGATCTTCCTGACTCCACCCCATCTTCGCCTTCGCATATATTAACTTCTTCATCAGCCATCGTATTTGTTGCGGAGCTTATGCTTATGTCGCGTGCACAAAGTTTAAAGCACTTTCTTCAAATTGCTTTTCATAAAGAACTGAATGCCAACAACCTTTCTATAATCACACAATTCCACACTGACTGAATCCACTTTGTCACTCACGTGCGCTCTCTGACAGAGGGAGAGATTCAGCGCTCTCACTGACCATGAGGTTAATTCTTTCACTTTCGTTTTTCTCCGCACGTGGGAATTCCTCATTCATCCATATGCGTCTCCTCCTCACAATACTCAAAAAATAAAAAGTACGTTCCAATACCTTTTCAAGCTGTAATGAATTAGTTCGTTGATCAGTTCGTCGAGCCGTGCAATAAGGCAATCCAAGGAGATTCCATTGACATCTTCTTAGCGAGTTTTTTGACTAATATAGTGGCACACCTTTCGTGCAAATCCTTATGTACCACCTTTTGCAGCTTCAATTCCAACAACCAGTATTTGCAAAAACGCGAGTAAGACCGAATCTTCTTTTAAAAAAGGTTTACTGAACAAATGCAAACAAAAATACAAAGTTACAATAGACTCGATCAGCTCGGTCAAAAAACTGTGTTGCTTCCAACATCCCTAACTGCAATCTGCCTAAAACGTATGAACTAATGACCTCATGACGTATTACTGTCGGAAGCCAAAATACCAAATTAAAGGTTTTTAAATTATATAAATTACTAAATTATGCATTTTAGATAATACAATCACAATGAATTCTTATTAAATTTAAATATCAATTTTTATCATGTTTTAACCTTCACTAAATTATTATCACAAATGAATTATGCATAACTGGCTCTTACAATGTTATAACGTCTTGTCGGACATCTAATTGTATTGTGAATAAATATGGGTTGCGGCTGGAAGAAAATGTGCTGGATAAGTTGGTGGTTCATTCCGCTGTGGCGACCCCAGATTAATAAAGGGACTAAGCCGACAAGAAAATGAAATGATAATAAATATTGTACTATTTCACAAATATTGTGATCAAGAAGAGCGAATGGGGAGCTTTGTTTCCGATCGCCATTCAGTATGATAGACTGAACAGTTTTCTATCAGTCATCATAATCAGTCGTTATCTGACAGAGTTAATATAGCAGATACTCGTTTGCTGGCCTTCCTGAACGATCTAAAAATGTTTATCCTGCATTTTATATAAATATACAATTGTATTTTATTGAATAAAAAAAATTATACCACCCCTCCCTCTTCGTTGACCATTTGATTGATCCGTTGCTCGGTTACAGTCACATGTTTAAAATGGAGAGAAGAGTAAGAGACGTGGAGCGCAAAATAGAAAACAAAAAGAGAACAAACCATGCGTTAAAATGAAAACTGCGATGACAAATTGGATAATAAGGAATTGTTCAGCTTAACCCCAGTGGCGTAGCGGACGGGCCCGCAGGGCACGCACCGCGGGGGGGCCCCGCGTCGTCGCGATTTTCAATAAACTGTTGGGAACAACTGTGGTCGGAACCAAAGTTCACAGGTCTATGTTCTCTGAACACCTCTCAAGCGGTGGACTACTTCATTCTGATTGCTTGCCGCCAATGTTGCCAACTTAGCGACTTTGTCACTAGATTTAGCGACTTTTCAGACCCCCCTAGCGACAAATCTAGCGACTTTTTTGTGTGTTATTGGAGATTTTTTTAGACTGTCATTTGTCCATACTGTACCGTCCCTACTCTTCTCAACGAGCTGCGTGTGATGCCGCCGGCCCCTCCCCCGCCTCACAGCACTGACAGGCGGCCCAGTCAGTCCTCGTACAGCAGCCTTTCCCACCTGCAGCCCGAGAGCAGCTCACCCCTCTGCGTACCGACGACAAATGATTTAGCACAGGCAGTGTGAAGGTATTTCCCTTATAGTATGTGAAAAACACTATAATTCTATAGGCTAAAGCCATGATGAGCTGGTGTAAAGTTAACTTTATGGTAACTTAAACGCTTTTGATAGTCGTAAATACTACTTACTAAAGAGCAACAAATTTATTTTAATCCTCTGTTTTGTTTGATAACAAAGGTGCGAGTCTGACTTTAAGAATGCAATGAAAACATTTGTTTTGTTTATGCTAATTAAAGATAATATTTCTTGTGTTTTAAATAAAACATGTTTACATATTATTGTGTATTTGTCTATTTACACACCCGAATCTTAAAGTATCCGCTTCCATTTAAATCGTGTGTATAGAAGCCGTCTTTATCACTATGGAGCGCGTCCGTCGCTCAGCACCGTTAGGGCGGCAATAGACGCATAAAGCTTTACTGGAAAGGACGTGAATGCGGCCGTTTTTACATTATTTCAACGTGCTGTCAATCCAAAATAATGTGAAAGCTTAATTCTCTTAACAGTTCTTGCATCACATTTGAGATCGACTCTGTGTAGCTGCTACTTTCACTTTTCATAGAAACATTACAAATGCGGGAGAAATACTGGAAAAACACACACGGAAGACAGCGGATAGAATGGTAAAATATGGTAGAATTAATATGGCAAAAACGAGAGGGTTTATAGGTATGAATTGCATACGTTGGCACACACATTTTAATTCAAAATCATTTAAAACAATAACATGCAGTCACACATCCAAGTGTAAAGTTTTTTCTTTATTATTATTAATTATTTTGCAAAAATAAGAGGGATCACACAAAATGTATGTTTAAAAGTAGGCTACATACCTAAATATTAGGGCCAGACAGAATCTGCAAAATCTTTTGCTGTTTCTGTTGAGAATTACAGGCAGAAAATACTACTTTACCAACTGTATTGTAAATAAATCATATGAACATTTTAATATTACTTTTATTATATCACAATAATATTAGTGAAATGAATTTAAATACTGAGTAAATATAAATGTACACAAATTTACACAAGTAAATAGATAGACTCGATGGGCTAATAATCGTGTGGCCCTACTGAATGTTTTACACAAAATGGAAAATAATACTTGGATTAAAAAATCCCCTTATATAAATTTTAGATACCTAATTATAATGATTCTTAACCCTGTTAAAACTGACACAAACAAATAGCCAGAATATTCACATTTTTTGGAACTGTCATGTTTATTAATCCCATCAAGATCCATTTTTTTACCATATACATGTTTTTTTTATAAATTAATTATGTATCATATTGATACATCAGGCCTTTTGGTAACTTTTTCTGCTCAAAACTAGTTCAATTTAGTTCCCCAAAAGTTTGCCTATAACATTTTGATCAAATAAAACATTTCAGGCAGTTTGTCTCTATTTTTTCAACTAATCATTGTACAGTCTTTTTTATTTCACTTTGTAAAAGGTGTTATTGCAGTTTCAGTCAATTGTTCATGCGAAGATAGACCTTACACCTCTCACATATGCATGTGAGAAGTTATTGCATTTTTAAGTTCTTTTGCCCTTTACGACTCCCATATCTATCATTTTGTTTTGACAAATGTACAGAAAGAACAAAAACAAGATATGTCAAGGTGCTATAATCATTTGGTGAGGAAAATGGACTTAAGAAGAAATTTGGGTAGTGATGAAATGTGATTCTTTGTGACTTAACATGCTTAATGTAATTATACTTGTACTACTTCATACTATTTCAGATGCGTTTGGAACGTAATAATTAATATAAGGGAGGTGGGGGGGGGGGCGCAAAACTTGAACTCGCATACCCCTCAGTAAATATGCAGTTGCGCCCCTGATAAATATATGAAATTATATCAATATTCTACTCAAGCGATTTAATTGTATTTGTTTGCTGAATTTTCTAATAACTTTTTAATTAATGATTTCCCACATTAAATACTATAGTAATTTAAAGTAAGCAATATATTGTTTTTAAACCATAAAATACTGGTAGTGTGCTGTAAATATAGTTGCAAATTTACAAATTTAGCATTACAAACAAATTAACTGGTAATAATAATTATATATATATATATATATATATATATATATATATATATATATATATATATATATATATATACATACATACAGGTTTATTACTAACAGTTGCTAACAGTTTGAGAGGGGTCTGGATGCAGACCTGGTGATGTGCAATCTCAGCTGCCTCCAATGCCTTTTAATACGCTCACCTAACCCTACCCGTCACAGTGACGTCACTCACTCCATTGAGTGCATTGTGTCTGACATTGCATCGCTGAGTGGTGCAATTTCAGCTTGCATCATAAAGGCTGCATCCAGATACTATTGAACAGTTTAGTAAAAGACAGTAGTTTATAATCAGATAATCAGTTAAGATAATATAAAATATAAACTATATTATAAACTATATTATACATTCATTCATTTTCTTGTCGGCTTAGTCCCTTTATTAATCTTGGGTCGCCACTGCGGAATGAACCGCCAACTTATCCAGCAAGTTTTTATGCATGGGATGCCCTTCCAGCTGCAACCCATCTCTAGAAAACATCCACACATTCACACACACTGATACACTACGGACAATTTCAGCCTACCCAATTCACCTGTACCGCATGTCTTTGGACTGTGGGGGAAACCGGAGCACCCGGAGGAAACCCATGCGAAGGCAGGGAGAACATGCAAACTCCACACAGAAACGCCAACTGAACCAAGGTTCGAACCAGCGACCTTCTTGCTGTGAGGCGACAGCACTACCTACTACGCTGCTGCCTCGCCCCCCTTTGTACTAACAACACGTTAATAATAAAAAATAACAATTCTTTCTCAGAGATACCCAGTTAGTTTTTTTCAAGAAACCTCTGGTGCAGGACACAAAACACAGATTTTTTTTGTCATTTATATATTATGTTTAGTCGTGATTCCTCGATATGTTTGTAAATTTGTTCATTTAAGTAATTTAACCTGGTTTATTTTCTGCTCATTGACTCTCGATACTCGAACAGCTGAATTATCGTTTCTTTGTTCTTTCTGTCCCATCAGTGGTGCAGATCAGGTTCTGTTTCATAATGGACGACACACAAATATCCAGAGATGAAAATGTTTCTCCAGGATGCAGGTACTTTGAGTTTAATTACACAAGTAATGGAGAGGAAAGCAAACTGCTGTAAAGTTAATGTACAAATGCAGACCAGTTTTTTACAGTGTATCGTTTGATTAAAAAGTGCTAATTTAAAAAAACTTTATTAACTTTATTTAAATATTAAAGTGATTATGATAACTTTATCTGTTATAGTTCAGTTCATCAGAAGAGATCAGATCCAGAGCCCAGCTGTGTGTCTATGAGGAGTGACTGGTCTATGGATCCTCCAATAAGTTTTAAGAGTAAAGACACACCGCCTGATTTCAGGTATATGATTTACAATTTAATTAGTGTACAGCTGTTTATGTATTTATTATAGTATCAGCAATAATTTATGAAAGATTTTGAAAAATGTTTGTTGACCATTGTAAAAGTTATTTTTGTCTTTTCAATAATGTCTTTATAAATATAGTGTTGCTCATACAGAGGGACGACACATGAAAGCAGTTAGTTCAACTTCACAGTTTCTGTATGAACATTGTAACTTTAATGAGCATAAATTTTTCTTTTTGTAAGGAGTTTTACTGATCCATTAATATTTGCAGTAGATTGTGGAATATGATATTGTGAGAATTAAACCCTAATTCCTGTTTGTTTTAGTTCAGTTCATCAGAAAAGCACAGAATCAGAGCCCAGTTGTGTGTCCATGAGGAGTGATGATGAATCTGTGGATCAGCCATTACATGTTAGGAGTGGAGACACAGAGACTGATCTCAGGTAAAACAATTATGTGAAAGTTACATGATGATGATGATGATGATACAGAAAAGGCTTTTTGATTATTCACTGTAATAATGGATTTTTATAACATTTCAGCCATGAAGCCCTCAACACATTTAGATCAGATCTGCTGAAGAAGTTTGAGTGTCTGTATGAGGGAACAGCGGCACAGGGAAACCCAACACTCCTGAATGAGATCTACACAGAGCTCTACATCACAGAGAGTGAGAGTGGAGAGATCAGTCATGAGCATGAGGTGAGACAGATTGAGACACAATCCAGGAGATCAACAACAGAGGACACAGCGATCAAATGCAGAGACATCTTTACACCTTTACCTGGACAAGACAAAGCCATCAGAACTGTGCTGACGAAGGGAGTCGCTGGCATCGGAAAAACAGTCTCTGTGCAGAAGTTCATCCTGGACTGGGCTGAAGAGAAGGAGAATCAGGACGTCCAGCTCATAATTCCACTTCCTTTCAGAGAGATCAATCTGATGAAGGACAAAACACTCAGTCTGTCAGATCTTCTTCAGCTCTTTTTCCCTCAAACTAAAGAAATGGAAATATCCAGTGACAAATATAAAGTGCTGTTCATCTTTGATGGTCTGGACGAGTGTCGTCTGTCTCTGGATTTTCAGAGCGCTGTGAGGTTGTGTGACGTCAGTGAATCCGCCTCAGTGGACGTGCTGCTGATGAACCTGATTGTGGGGAATCTGCTTCCCTCTGCTCTCATCTGGATCACCTCCAGACCAGCAGCAGCAGATCTCGTCCCCTCTGAGTGTGTCCATCGAGTGACAGAGGTACGAGGCTTCAATGACCCTCAGAAGGAGGAATACTTCAGCAAGAGAATCAGTGATCAGAGTCTGGCCAATACAATCATCTCACACCTGAAGTCCTCCAGGAGCCTCTACATCATGTGCCACATCCCAGTGTTCTGCTGGATCTCAGCCACTGTTCTGGAGAAGATGTTGAGTGAAGCAGAGACTGCAGAGATTCCCAAGACTCTCACTCAGATGTACACACACTTGCTGATCCTGCAGACCAACATCAAACATCAGAAGGACTATGAGGAGAAGCTGACAGATGAAGACATGATCCTCAAACTGGGGAAAGTGGCTTTTCAGCAGCTCATGAAAGGCAATATAATCTTCTATGAGGAAGACCTGAGAGAGTGTGGCATTGATGTGGCAGAAGCTTCAGTTTACTCAGGATTGTGCACTCAGATCTTCAGAGAGGAGTTTGGCTTGTATCAGGGGAAAGTCTTCAGCTTTGTTCATCTGAGCATTCAGGAACATCTAGCAGCTCTATATGTGCACCTCTCCTGTATTAACAACAACAGAGATGGGTTTGAGGAAATCAAAAAGCCGAGTTTGTGGTCTAAAGTAAAGGACCTTTTGTACTTAAATTCATCACAACTTGTTTCTTTATCTGAGCTGCATCAGCGAGCTGTAAATGAGGCTCTACAGAGTAAAAATGGACATCTGGATCTTTTCCTGCGGTTTCTTCTGGGTCTGTCAGTGGAGTCTCATCAGATCATCCTTCAAAGACTAATGATACTGAAAAGCAGATCAATCCAGATTAATAAAACAGTCGAGTACATCAAGATGAAGATCAGGACCATCGACTCTCCAGAGAAATTCATCAATCTGTTTCACTGTCTGAATGAACTGGGTGATCATTCACTAGTAGAGGAAATACAGCAGTATCTGAAATCTGGAAGAATAAACAGAGCCAAACTCTCAGAATCTCAGTGGTCAGCTGTAGCTTTTGTGTTGTTGACATCAGAGAAAAAGCTGGAGGAGTTTCATATTAATGAGTTTGTTGGCGAAACTGAAAAAATATTCATTTTTATGAAGCTACTGCCTGTGATTAGAGAATGCAGATCAGTTCAGTAAGTATTGGTAACTCCAAATCCATTTTAATGCAATTACACATTTTGAAGTTTAACAACAGTAACAAGTGATGGAAGTGTCACATAAAAAAGAAAACCTTAAATATTTATGATACTAACTCAAGTTGCTTTTTGACTTGGATTTAAAGGGGTGGTCCACTACGATCTCATATTTTAAACTTTAGTTGATTAGTAATGTAGCTGTGTGAATATAAAAAGCATCTCTGAATGTAAAAAGTTCTAAGTTCAATGCAAAGGGAGACCTTGGTTTTTACAGAGTTAGCTTAGCAAAGCCTATAATGAACGAATTTTGGGGACTACAAAAAATACTTCCGCCCCCTGTGAGATCACAAGTTCGTTTACTGCGCATCCCACACTGCGCATGCAGGTAAGACCCGTGGCCAGAGGCGCTGTAACGTTATAGCAGAGATGAAGCTAAAAATGCGTCTAAACACGGCTGTTTCCACAGAGCTTCAACTGTTTCTGTATTTGGGCTTCTAAAGGACACGACACAAACACAGAAGTGCTCACAGTTCAATATTAATTATGTTCCAGAGAATTATAAAACGCACAGCAAGCATGATTTGACAAAACAGCTCCAGAATCTCTCCCAGTTCAGTGCTGGATTCGGCTAAAATCTCCTCAAAGCAGAAGTTGTAAGCTACAAGTAAGTGTTTTTATTTGTTAAAATTGATCATGACATGTACAGTGTCTAGCGTTAACAGTATGCTGTTGCAATGATTGTAAGCAATGCAAAATGCTGCTTTGCGGGCAAACGATTAAGCTACAAATTTATATTTATCAGTTAAACTGCTGTAAACACACACACACACACACACACACTCTCTTATGTGTGTGCGCACGGGACTGCACTGATGTCTTCAGGCAGCTTTTCCATGTGTTTCACATCTCAGATAATGAAGTCGCAAAAGATATGTGGATGATTCATATTACTTACACCTGCATATTCCGGATACACATGAAAGCCGTCGTGTAACGCATTGAGTTAAAAAAAAAAATACAGGATAGATTACCTGACTCGTGGTCGCAGCAGAATAATGTTACTCCCCTCGAGATGAAATAAAGGCTCAAGTCGTTCTTGATTTTAACTGACATTTATTCGGACACGAGTCTGTAGTATGTCTTGTACATTCTAGCCTTGCACTCCTTTATGTCCCAATATTGCCGTCAGAACTACGAAAAGAAATACATAAGCTTCAATTAACCCTTTAAAGGTGATGTTGCACGTAATGAACAACATACATACAACCAAAAGATAAAGTGCACATTCAACATGTAAAGAAATACACTTAATTGGCTAATTATACATTACATACGGACACATAATCATACACGTTCACATACGTTAACACCATACGACACACACCTCATTGGCCTCTCTAACTCAAGAGGAATAAACTTGAAGGGTTGCAGTTTCTCTTAAACAAACTTCTTTGCACTTCTTAATCTTTAAAAACTTGTTTTAGCACAGCACCTTGTGGCTGAACTACTTGTAGTGCATCGGAAGAATATCTTGATTGCAACAATGAAATAATTCCCAAGCTAAACATAACAAGAAAAGGTTCCCCCCTCCCCCTTATAGTTTTAGTTAAATAACTTTAAATGAATTAACATGCATTAACAACAAATGTACATTACTTATTTATTCTAATGATTACTCTGAACATTTTAACTATTTATTGACTTTTTTAATGTAAAGTTTATGTTTATAGAGTGTAATATATAAGCATTGCTTCTGACGGCAGCTACAATAATAAATCAAGGTCTCAACAGGTAGCATCCCACATCTTGTGCTTTATTCTTCTGTCACGATATATTACAGAAAATAACTTAATCCGAGCATCAGAGTAAAAAAAAAGTCCCGCACACTTGCGCTTGTTACAGAAAGTTCACACATTCACACACACATAGACGCACACACAAACGCTGTGTAAGGAGCTGCACCCCATTTTCCCTCGTTACAGACACTTGTCAGATGTTATTTTAGAGAACGGGCGGGAGGTTAAAAAGCGCATGCTTTTACGGGCGTGACGTGGAGCCGATCTACGAATAGCAGCACATTATGATGATGACCAATCAGAGTCACTTAAGGGCGGGCCTTTCAGAGGAACTAGGAAATATTACAGTCGTTTTCATGTTAGCTGAGTAGCTGTGTATAATCAAAGTGAGATATATGAAAAAATAACGCGATTTCCTTCAAGTAAAACATGAGCACACATTGCTTTGCATTTTATAAACACAACCAAGCCTTAAAATTACATTCTGGACCACCCCTTTAATAATGGTAGATAATATAAATGTAATTGCTAAATAATCTCTCACGTATTGAACATTAAACCCACATATCTTTTTGTTATAAGGTTACAATGTCAAGTAAATTCATTAACAAGTCAAATTATTTCAAGTAAATTTTAATAAATGCATAATTTTCACAAAATTTTTGATGACTTATAATGAAAACTCCTCAGTGCTAACAGAACATAAATATTGGTAATGTGAATAAAAGCCTTTATTGGCGAAAACAGAATTATGAATGAACACAACAGAATAAATGACTTAAAGCCGAGTGTACATGAGCGGGTAAAGCCAAAACAAAGAACAAAAGAAAACTATAAGTGATAAATTATAATATATAAGTCATATAGATCAGGACAAACTGTGATCTCCTGTTGAAATGTAGACAAAATTAAAGTGTTTTGAACTGTGATTTGTACATGGTAAACAATTCAAGCCAAGAAGGGTCATAAATACGCAGCTGTAATTTTGCTACATTTCTCAAATATTTGCAAACGAATATTAGATTATCAGACATATTTGCAGGAGCGAATTCCTCCATGGTGAGTGACAATTACTGTGACAATGGTACTATATTCAGCTTTGGTTATTTTTTTTATCTTTTTGGCATTGACTTGGTGTGTCCCAAAATGATGTGATGTGAGAAAGTGAAGAGTGTGTCGTTGTTCTCTACAGGTTGAATAATTGTGGTCTCACAGATGAAGGTTGTGCTGCTTTGGCTTCAGCTCTGAGATCAAACCCTGAACACCTGAGAGAACTGAATCTGTCTGGGAATAGACTAGGAGATTCAGTGACTCTTCTCTCTGCTCTACTGGAGGATCCTCGCTGTAATCTGGAAATACTGTGGTAAGATCATATTTGACTTTCACATGTAATGTAGAGCTCTCATGTAGGGGTTTCATCATCATTAGTGCAGTCAATTTCATTTCATTTTAATCCCTTTAGAGCAGGGGTGTCAAACTCAATTCCTGGAGGGCCGAAGCCCTGCACAGTTTAGTTCCAACCCTGCTCCAACACACTTACCTGTAGGTTTCAAACAAGCCCGAAGGACTCAATTAGTTTGATCAGGTGTGTTTAATTAGGGTTGGAACTAAACTGTGCAGAGCTGCGGCCCTTTTGGAACTGAGTTTGACACCTGTGCTTTAGAGTGTTTGATCCATTTTCAACATGTAATTTTTTTTTTTCTTGGTTTTAAATATTTTACTTGGCTTTATCCTGCAGTTTTCTTACTGTATAGAATGTAATAATTATGTCCACCTTTTGTGTGTTTGTATGTGTTTACTGTAAAAAAAGTGCCGTTCACTATGACTATTTTGATATTTTAGAAATAATTATATAATTTTGGTTATTAATATTAAAAAACAAAATCTGATTCATATTTTTGTGGAACCTGTGAGACATTTTACATTTGAAGATTATTTAGTGAATAGAAAGTTTAATCTTTTGAAACATTATAAATGTTTGTACTGTTAGTTTTGATCATTTAAAAGTGGCCTTGATAAATCTAAGTAATGTTTTAAAGAAATAAAATAAATGCTGTTTTTAAATTTTTATTTCACAGAATTATTAAACAGCAGAACTGTTCTCAGCATTGGAAACTTTAGGTACCAGTATGGAGACTTTAGATTAAAAAATTATCCTTTGAAAAGGGATCGTCACAGTGACAGATTTTGTTTTTCTATGCATGTGCTTGAAATAATCTTCAGGTGTTTTATGATCATGCTTTGTGCTCCGTGACAATTTAGACCTCAGTTTATCAAACATGTGCTTCAAGTGTGTACTTTAATAATTGATTCTCTGTTAAACTGATGTGATGTGAGAGAGTGAAGAGTGTGTCATTGTTCTCTACAGGTTGAGTTATTGTGGTCTCACAGATGAAGGTTGTGCTGCTTTGGCTTCAGCTCTAAGATTAAACCCTGAACACCTGAGAGAACTGAATCTGTCTCATAATAATATATCAAAATCTACAGTGAAGCTGCTCTCTGATCTAAAGCACAACCCACATAATAAGCTGGAAACATTATACATTTGTGAGTATGTTTTTAAGCTGTAAAGTTGGCTTGAGTTCAGTAAAAGCCCTCATGTGTGTAAATGCAGAATATCTGATAATAATTCAACTTTTCTTTAGTTGAGTTTTGAATGCTCATTTATCTGCTTGAGTTTTTTAAATGGATCTGCTGATGTGACAGCAGCGATTACTTGTGTAATACAAAAAATCTCACATATTACTAAAAATCTCACATATTACTGGTGTGTGTGTGTGTGTGTGTGTGTGTGTGTGTGTGTGTGTGTGTGTGTGTGTGTGTGTGTGTGTGTGTGTGTGTTTTATTGCAGGATTCTCAGTGTTTAGTTTGCTCAGGATCTGCTGATTGTGAAAAAGGAGAAACGTCACAGACACACAATCAACACACACTGAAGATGAATTTGCTCTTCAGTGTTTGAACTCTCAGTAATGATTTTAAATCACACTGAACTGAGCTAAACTGAACTGAACTGAACTTAAGCACTAAAAACTGAACTACACTGTTCCAGTTACTATGACCATTTATGTGAAGCTGCTTTGACACAATCTACGTTGTAAAAGCGCTATACAAATAAAGCTGAATTAAAGACTCACAGACTCACACTGATTTGTTTTTATATGCAATGACCAGGAAAATGTAAATGACATCATTATTTTGTTGCAGATCATCCAGATATTGATTATAGTGGAAAAGAGGATTTGAAATTGACGTAACTAAAGCACTCCTATTGTAATCAGTAAGTCACGTTGACATTGTGTAAATATGAAATGTGTTGTGCAGCACAGACAGCTTCGTTCATTATATTGGAAAAGTAAAAATAAAATGTTACACTACTTTTTTTGTCAGTATAAACTTGAGAAATCTTGGTTTTACAAGGTTTACTCTGAGAAAATCAAGGGTTTGGCTACAGATGAGATGTGTCTTAAATGTGTCAGCAGAGGTTGACGAGAAAGAAATCATTTTACTGAGCATTAAATTCTCTACAATATTTTACTGATCTGTGATTAATGTTTAACATGCTTATCCATTTTCTCCCTCTTTCTTTGTTTATTTTTTACAGTTTTTAGCTTTTTAATTAATCTTCTGAACAATTGATTTTATTTTCTTCTTTCTCTTGCTGACAAACATTTCTGAACCCACAACAAAAAAATGAAATAGTCGCTGTTGATTACTAGTGTTAAATATCCAGAGATAACTTTATCCAAAGATTTGGAGTTTCATTTTTTCTGCATCTTCTTTGCATTTCTGATAAATCTATAATAAGTGGTATTTTTTGGTGTCTGCTATAACAGATGATTTTCTAGTTTGTTTACGGTACTGTGTAGATGTGATTTTATAATTTACTGTTGTTAAATTATGTTCTGAAAAGATAAAATAAGGGATTACTTTCATATTTAGGTTTTTGCAGTATATCGACCATTACATACATGAACAAAAAAATTCAAAGAGGCAGATAAAGTAACTGTAGGCTATATATGTGGTATTCCTATATTTTGCATACCTTGATTTTTCAACTAAAGGTTATAATGTATGAAAATTGCATGTTAATAAACAGGCATGAATTTAGTGGAAATTTAACAGCAATACAAGGCAGGCGTTTTCAAACTGTGGGGCGCGAGACACTGAGGCGTGCACTTATGATGACGATTTTTATGCGTTCTCTAGAGGAAATAATATAATTAACGTTAGCTCCACAGCTAACTATCAGGCACCTGTAAAGTTAATGCTTTCCAGTAAAATACATACAAATAAAATGGACCGGGCGGTGCTTTTTAAAACTAATTACGGTGAATGAAAGTCAAAGTAAGCCGTCCCTTCTGGATCTTTCACAAGATACTGACTACGTTTACTTGGACATCAGTAGTTATTTGCCTTAATCTGAATAAGACAAAAATATTACTACATGAAGTCCTTTTTAATTGTTGTGTCACCGAATATTCACGTTTCCTGCAGAGTCTCGTGTAATTTTGGGGTGTTTCATCTTCAATTTCTGGACTTTAACTGCAATTCGTTCAGTTTCATTCATACCCTGGTTCGTACCTGGACTGGTAGAAGGGTGTTGCTTTTATTGATACCGCACCAATTATTGGGACCGACCATCCCTGATAAGAGATGTGTGTGTGTGTGTGTGTGTGTGTGTGTGTGTGTGTGTGTGTGTGTGTGTGTGTGTTTTACAGGGTATGCCTAAGCTTAAACGCCCTCTAGCGGTGAACTATTGTGATTTCCAAACCTTTTGAGAAACCTTGAATGTTTCAAGCGCAGATCAATATACTTATTTATATTTTGCTAACGAAATATTAGAAAGTTTTAAATGGAGGTGAATGACTAACTTTTCTTGACTGTGCCTAACCCAGGGCTGATAGTGGAAAAAATTCCTGAGCCTGAACTTTTTTTCCTTGTCCCTGAGGTGAGTAGGGGTGGGGGTACTATGTATGCAACGCACTTTTAACACATAACTTGTGGGCCCCTGGGCCCAAATATATTAACAGCCTATGTGTAACCCTGATCATCATTATTGTCAAGTGGCTCTTTTTAGACACATGCCAGTAATGTCAGTGACACATGCCAGTAATGTCAGTGATCTTGTGACATGTGCCAGTAGGTGTCAGTATAAGCAAGTTATAAGCACATTAATCTTATAACGCCCTATTCACACGGGGCTTCAACGTCAACGCTTGACAGAGGGCGTGTCTGAAGTTGGAGCTGAAACGATCTTCATAGAAGCGTCAGCCAATGAAATTCAGTCAGCAATAGGCCGCTGTCTGAGCTGGTGTATTTGCATACAGCGATCTGATTGGCTGACGCTTCCGTCGGCGCTTGAAAAGTTGAGCTGGTCCCAACTTCTGAAGCGAGGAACGCTTCTGAAGCGGCGCCGACGGATCCACAATGCAGTTCGGCAACGCCTGACGTCACCCATTCAAAGTGAATGGGAAGCGTTGACGCTGACGCCCCGTGTGAATAGGGCGTTACGCAAAGTCTCTTTGCTTTAATATTTAAAAATCATTAGGCAAATGACACCTGTTATCTTACATGCATATATGTTATGAGTTTTCAACATGCATTTTATTATAACTTTTTAAAGGATATTATTTAAAATACCTTAAAATGAAAATAAGTTAAATAATAAAATAAATGAATGAATTAAAAAAATAGAGAAGTCCATATTGTAGGGAACAAAGGAACTGCCAGGATGCAATAATATACAGTACAACAGATAAGTGTAACCCCTCCCATACATAATGCCACAATAAATTAGACTGACATGTACTGTCAAATGACTATATTACGTACGGAAGTATGACTACGAATACATAAAATAAATGCGTTTAAATTTAAACATCGTTGAGTAGCTAAGCAAATAAACTAACTTGCGACGCGATAAATTAGGTTAAAAGTCGCGTAATGATTAAATATGGTTTTGCTCGTGTTAATTAATGTCATAAGCTTCGCCGGGTGTCGATGTCACTGCAGTGACATGCAGCGCGACACTCTGAGTGACACAGGTCACTACACATGCCACTAGCGAGTGACACATGACAGTGGAAAACCGGACGTGCCACCGGAAGTGTCACTACACTCAGTGGCATGTGCCAGTGTCATCTGTACGTCAGATGTCGTGTCAATCCATGTTAAAACTGCGAATCCGCGTTCAAGCGCACACAATAAGCTAAAACTCGCCCCAAGCACCGGCAAAAACAAATAACAATGAATGTGTCGAGGAAAGAGTAAGGACATATCTTAATTATTTATTAATAAACTTATTCTGAGTCAGTGTCGCAAAGATCCTGACTGGCAATCTCCTGATCAAACAGACAATGATGGTCTTCCGCTGGGCGCTGTTCGTTAAAAAAAAATATTTTTAACGAATAAAAAATGCTCCAAACGTTTTCCTAAATAAGCTGAATAAAAAACGAAACTAAATATAAACACTTTGCCATTAGACTACATACAAAACTGAACTATTTCATAGCTGAAACACTAAGTTGTTTAAGGAGAAGGGGGAAATATATTTTTGTCCCGTCTATTGCTTCACCGTTATTTCGAGAATAAACCCAGCGTAAATATGCAGATGTCATTCCCAAAACATATCAGCGTATATGTGCCGAAAACGAAAGTTTCATACAAATTCTGAATGGATTATAGCCTGGAAAGTGCAAAGCGCGCTCCTCTTATTATCACTAAAAAGCGTCACTAATCTTAGTTCATAGAGATCTCACAAAGATCCGTTATAATTTATAAAGCTCTCTAAATTACACAATTAATCTTTTATTTACATGGCGTCTACACTCAAAAGATGATTTACGAGCACACAAAATGGCACTTAATAAAAACCAATCCAGCGCTTTCAGCAGTGAGTGAATTCTGTTAATCAATAGAGAAATGACAGATCAATATCCGTGAACCTGATTTTTTCCCCCCGCAGGCCGCAGCCACAGTACGCCGGAAATCCGGCGTGGTGCCGGAACGCTATCACCCCTGCTAACCACTGCGCGTAATGTGACGTCACCATTCCGACGTCACAAATATAAAGTGAAAGCAAAGTTGAGTCATCGAGTCGATCCGTTAGTTTTCCGTGTGGAGCATCACTTACTGTACTTCACAGGAACTTTATCAAAACAAATCACGGGTTTACAAGTAACTTAACAGACGTATGATTATAACTCTATCAGCTCACTCTACGCAGATCTACAGTTTATAACAAGTTGATGAAGGTGAGTGAAACGGGAAACTGCTACTTAATATTTTTGGAAGAATGTAAATATGATTTAAATGTCTTTGATATGTTGTGTTAATAAAAGTTTTTATCATAAACCTGAATACATTTGAGTTAAACTGCGCTTCCCATGAGTGGAGTGTGTTAGCAGGAAATGCAGTTTGCTCTGAGGTCGTGTTAGTCCTGTGGATTATGTTTAGGCGTGATTCCGTAAAATTGTTCATTTAAAGAAATTTAATCTGATTTCAACTGAATTATTGTTTCTTTGTTCTTTCTATCTAATCGGTTGTGCAGATCAGATCAATAGTATGAAGCCCAGATCCTGTTTCATAATGGACGACACACAAATATCCAGAGATGAAAATGTTTCTCCAGGATGCAGGTACTTTGAGTTTAATTACAAAAGTAAAGGAGGAAAGCAAACTGCTGTGAAGTTAATGTACAAATGCAGACCAGATTCTTTACAGTGTACTGTTTGATTAAAAAGTGCTAATTTAAAAAAACTTTGTTTAATGAAGATAATTAAGATAGATTGGTCTGTTTCCTGTCATAGTTCAGTTCATCAGAAGAGATCAGATCCAGAGCCCAGCTGTGTGTCTATGAGGAGTGACTCTATGGATCAACCAATGCACTTTAAGAGTGAAGACACACCACCTGATCTCAGGTATATGATTTAAAATTTAATTAGAGTACGGCTGTTTATGTATTCAGTAGTAGTAGCAGTAATAATATCATTAGTAACTTATGCAAGATATAAAAATGTTTGTTGTATATTGTGGTAGTTATTTATCTTTTTTTATTTACTAAATGCTCTTGCAGAGGTACAACATTAAAATAATCAGTTCAATTTTACATTTTGTGATTAAACATTACAACTGTAAACAAAAATTTAAATGTATTTTTCTGATACATTAAAATGTACAGAAACTTGTTTAATATGATCATTTGAAAATTAACCTTTATTTTTGTTTTAGTTCAGTTCATCAGAAAAGCTCAGAGCCCAGCTGTGTGTCTATGAGGAGTGATGATGAATCTGTGCATCAGCCATTACATGTTAAGAGTGGAGACACAGAGACTGATCTCAGGTAAAACAATTATGTGAAGGTTACATGATGATGATGAGGATACAGAAAAGGCTTTTTGATTATTAACTGTAATAATAGATTTTTACAATTTTACAGCCATAAAGCCCTCAACACATTTAGATCAGATCTGCTGAAGAAGTTTGAGTGTCTGTATGAGGGAACAGCGGCGCAGGGAAACCCAACACTCCTGAATGAGATCTACACAGAGCTCTACATCACAGAGAGTGAGAGTGGAGAGATCAGTCATGAGCATGAGGTGAGACAGATTGAGACACAATCCAGGAGATCAACAACAGAGGACACAGCGATCAAATGCAGAGACATCTTTACACCTTTACCTGGACAAGACAAAGCCATCAGAACTGTGCTGACGAAGGGAGTCGCTGGCATCGGAAAAACAGTCTCTGTGCAGAAGTTTATCCTGGACTGGGCTGAAGAGAAGCAGAATCAGGACGTCCAGCTCATATTTCCACTTCCTTTCAGAGAGATCAATCTGATGAAGGACAAAACACTCAGTCTGTCAGATCTTCTTCTGCTCTTTTTCCCTCAAACTAAAGAAATGGAAATATCCAGTGACAAATATAAAGTGCTGTTCATCTTTGATGGTCTGGACGAGTGTCGTCTGTCTCTGGATTTTAAAAGGAATAAGACTCTGAGAGATGTGACCAAAACATCATCAGTGGACGTGCTGCTGACAAACCTGATTGTGGGGAATCTGCTTCCCTCTGCTCTCATCTGGATCACCTCCAGACCAGCAGCAGCAGATCTCGTCCCCTCTGAGTGTGTCCATCGAGTGACAGAGGTACGAGGCTTCAATGACCCACAGAAGGAGGAATACTTCAGCAAGAGAATCAGTGATCAGAGTCTGGCCAATACAATCATCTCACACCTGAAGTCCTCCAGGAGCCTCTACATCATGTGCCACATCCCAGTGTTCTGCTGGATCTCAGCCACTGTTCTGGAGAAGATGTTGAGTGAAGCAGAGACTGCAGAGATTCCCAAGACTCTCACTCAGATGTACACACACTTCCTGATCCTGCAGACCAACATCAAACGTCAGAAGGACTATGAGGAGAAGCTGACAGATGAAGACATGATCCTCAAACTGGGGAAAGTGGCTTTTCAGCAGCTCATGAAAGGCAATATAATCTTCTATGAGGAAGACCTGAGAGAGTGTGGCATTGATGTGGCAGAAGCTTCAGTTTACTCAGGATTGTGCACTCAGATATTCAGAGAGGAGTTTGGCTTGTATCAGGGGAAAGTCTTCAGCTTTGTTCATCTGAGCATTCAGGAACATCTAGCGGCTCTATATGTGCACCTCTCCTGTATAAACAACAACAGAGATGAGTTTGAGCAAATCAACAAACAGAGTTTGTGGTCTAAGGTTAGACTTAACCTTGCAAAGTTAAAGTTACACTTGTTTCAACTCACTATATCAAATCATGTTTCAATATCCAAACTGCATCAGCGAGCTGTAAATGAGGCTCTACAGAGTAAAAATGCACATCTGGATCTTTTCCTGCAGTTTCTTCTGGGTCTGTCAGTGGAGTCTCATCAGATTCTCCTACAAGGACTACTGAAGATGAAAATCAGATCAATCCAGAATAATAAAACAGTCGAGTACATCAAGAAGAAGATCAGCACCATCGACTCTCCAGAGAAATTCATCAATCTGTTTCACTGTCTGAATGAACTGGGTGATCATTCACTAGTGGAGGAAATACAGCAGTATCTGAAATCTGGAACAATAAAGGGAGCCAAACTCTCTTCATCTCAGTGGTCAGCTGTAGTTTTTGTGTTGTTGACGTCAGAGAAGAAGCTGGAGGAGTTTGATATTCATGTTTAACTAGCTTTGTTTTCATCATCCTGTTTGCTCATAGAACCTCTGTTTTAATGCACATATTTGAGTATACCACCAGAAACAAGTGATGGAAGTGCCAAAGTCAGAAAGAAACTACCTTAATTTATTTTTTCACACTAGCTCCTGTTGGTTTTTGACTTTGTTTTATTAGTGGTAGATGGATAATGATATTGTAACAATTAGATATTCTGATAATACACTTTTATTTTTCTGTTCCAATGAACTTTCCAGGCTGGGTTTATACTTTAATGCTCAAAAAAATATGATACAAAGTGTCAAGAATTGTAGAGATCTTATTTGTTTGTTTCGTTTTAGGAAACAGCAGAAGTATACTGTAGTACACTAAGGTGTAGAGTCATCGCTATCATTTTGTCAATAAATCCTGAAACATTTCATATACCCTCAAGTTTACACACTTAATAAAAAACAATCTCAATTTCTCAAATGAAACACTCTCAGACTTTTGTCACTGACATTATATATTACGCATGTTGTGGCAAAGAAAGAGAGAAAGTAACCAGACAACACTCTATCCCAAAACCCAACAACTGATTAGTTCATTTAAGAGCTACGTTACATGTCTCCTATGCTAGCTTTAACATCTAAATATTATATGTATTTGTTTATTTGAATATTTGTGCAGTGATGGATCTGGTTTTTTTAGTTCCAAAAATTAAAATTGAGACATGTATTCATCCTTTACCAGGGTATATACAGAACTTCTCAAGTTGAACTTAATACATTTTACTACCTTTTTAATACCTTCAAAAAAAAAAAAATTGTAATACCAGCACAACTTAGAGTTGCAACTGTAGAGGCGTAAATTAAATATCTTTCCAAATGAAATAACATATTACAGATAACATTAAAGTAAAGCAGAGGGATTAATCAAGGAGTCACAATGGGCCTTTGTCCATAGCTTTTAATCAATGTCATACATGCCATCAATCTCAATAGCCGTTCTTCAAAGAACAGTTTGGTACGGTTACGGTTGTTACTTCACTGAGCCTGGAACGGCGAGGCACGATTTCAAACCGTTCTTGGCATGGTTAGACCAAGCAGAACTGTGCTGATAGATTCTGTGTGACGTGTTGATGTTGTGGCTCTGTTGCCAAGCTACCACACCACCTTTTAGAATAAAGGACTGCTCTTAACACAAATTGAAAATTTGGCTCAAATGTAATACCTCATTAGATGACGTTTACTACTTTTTAATAATTTTTAATGCCCTTAATTTTGGCTAATTTCGATTACTAACTTTTACAACATGCGGACACCCTGTTTGTTTCTAACCAAATGATTTTAAAAAGAGCTGAAACTTATAACCATTGACTGTTATAGTATTAGTTTTTCTTACTGTGGAAGTTAATAATTACAGGTTTTCAGCTTTCCTCAAAATAAAAGTTTTGTGTTCAACAGAAGAATGAAACTCTTGAAGGTTTGGAGCTACTTGAGACTGAGCAAATGTTCATTTTGGGTGAACTAACACTAAATGAACCTGAACAGCTCTTAAAACAATTACTTGTTTAGCCTGTTTAACCAGAAAATCTATCAGACAGGGAAGTAAATCAAAACACTCAGTGAGTATGAGTTCATGTAACAAATGAAGTGAAAATGAAGTTTAGTGTTAACGTTTTAACATTTTAACAACAGGATTCTACTGCTTGGATTATCACAATATTATAAAATATAGGCCATAATGCAAAGGTGGATGTCTGAAAAAGCTGTTTAAGGTGAGTGCTCAGAGAGAGGGAAAGATAAGAAGTGCCAGAAGGGTGTTAATAACCCTTTAAAATGGCATTGCCATATACCGAATAAGTTTCATCAAGTAAAAATCTTTTTAATGTTTATTTTATTAAGAGGTGTTTGATGAGTCAGCTTTTGGTCTTCTGCTTTTAAAGGGATAGTTTACCCAAAAATGAAGATTTTGTCATTAATTACTCAAATTTCACTTGTTTAAAATCTATTAGTTTTTTTCTGTTCAACACAGAAGAAGAATTTGTCAAAAATGCTGGTTGATGGGCCCATTAACTTTCATAATATTTTTTCCACTATTGAAGTCAGTGAGTCCCAGCAACCAGCATTCTTTCAGACAGGGAAGTAAAATAAAACACTAAGTGCGTATGAGCTTGTGAAAACGAAGTATCTAGAAAGATTCTACTGCTTGGAGTATCACAGTATTTCACAGGATCCTTTATGAAAGCTAAGCTTTGAGTTTAGCTTACATTTAGCTACTTGGTACAAAAGGCGGATGATGTTTACAATTCTGATGAAAAGAGCTGTCTGAAAACTAAAGCGGATCAAGGTGAGTCCTGAAAGAGAGACAGAAAGAGATGTCTTGGCATTAAAACTTTTATAGGGCATAAATAATCAATTTAAACGAAATTGCTATTTTTTATATAAGCATCAGTGTTTAATAAGTGTACAAACAGTAACTTTTAAATAATAATAATAATTTATTTAAGTGTTACATTTTTATTTAGTTTTATAAGACAATTCATGGGCTGCATTTGGTCTTCTGCTTTTAAAAGGATAGTTAACAAATAAATGAAAATTTTAAATAATTTACGCTTCACTTTCACTTAAAAAAAAACTATTTTGAGTTTCTTCAATCTCTTAAAACTAAATGAACATTTGTTATAGTTATGAAGAATGCTGATGTCCTGGACCCACTGACCTTTAGTTATTATTTTCATATATTCATATTGATTGTTTCATAAGTCAGTGGGTCCCAGCAACCAGCAATCTTCTTATACATTATTTCTTTTGTGCTCAACAGAATAAACTTTTGAACATTTAAAACTGCATGAGAGAGTCAATGATGAGGTAATTTTCGTTTTGGGGGTGAATTATACCTTTAAAAAATTATCAGCCTGCTTTAAAAATGCCAGGTATTTCCTGAAAATGTATATATGTGTTAAAACATTTAGCATTTATTATTATCTTTTGTATATTGTGGTTTGTTTGGGGATGTCTTTAGGTTATTTTAGTATTTCTGTTAAAATACCTGAATTATTGTGTTTGTCTCTTCAATCCAGAGTCAGTGCTGAAGATCAGATTTAGTTTCATCATTGGTCATGGAGGACACACAAACAACTATAGAGAAGGATTATTCTCCAAGATTCAGGTAAAATGATAAACAATACAGAAAGATACACAGACTGATCTCAGGTAAGGTTTCTACAGAAATAAACCTTTATGTTACAGTATTTCGTTGCTATATTTGTGATATCATTTCATCCATATAATAATTTTTTCTGCATGTTATATTTCTTACAGAGAGACAAACAGTTTAGTAGTTTTGTATCAGTGTATTGTAAAAAAACAAAAACAAAAAACTTTTTCATTACAAAAAATTGTTAAACAGTATAAATATCAAACCATTAACTTCAGTCTAACTGTTATAGTTTAGTCCATCAAAAGAGATCAGAGCCCAGCTGTGTGTCTATAAGGAGGGACCAGTCTGTGGCTCATCCAATAGATTTTAAGAGTGAAGATACACAGACTCATCTCAGGTATAAGATTTCTACAGAAGACACTATAGAAACTTATGTTACAGTGTTTTCATGTTATATTTGTGATTATTAGTTTATCCATATAAATAAATTTTTCTGTATATGTCTCACACAAAGAGACAAATAGTTTAATAGTTTTGTACCAATCTTTTGTAACAAAACAAAAATATATAGTGTTTTTTTTATTAGGAAAATATGTTAAACAGTATTAATTTCAAATCACTAACTTCAATCTTTCAATCTGTGTTATAGTTCAGTTCACCAGGAGAGATTAGATCCAGAGCCCAGCTGTGTGTCTATAAGGAGTGACCGCTCTGTGGCTCATCCAATAGATTTTAAGAGTAAAAATACTCATCTCAGGTATAAAACTTCTACAGAAGATACTCATATATTCATTCATTTTCTTTTCGGAAATTTTAAAATTGAAATTAAAACTTTTAATCCTTTAATTAATCTGGGGGTTGCCACTGCGGAATGAATCACAAATTTATCCAGCATATGTTTTACGCAGCAGATCTTGCAGATATTGTCTCTTCTATTACACATGAGACTTCGGAAGCAGAAGTGTGATGAACTCTCTGCAGCTGGTGACTTTATTCCCAGCTAATTGTGATTGCCATCAGCTGTGAGCAGCACACTGCCACATATAGGCATTCATTGGCCCATTTTCTTACTCTCCAAAATTATTGGTTATCAAGCAATACCTCTAAATGTGTCTGTGACACAGCATTGAAGTTCCATAATAATATTATTAATAATAATAATAATAATGTCTTTTATTTATAGGTGCTCTTTAAAGCACTTAAAGACACCTTACAATATGTCACAGGCACATCATAAAAAACGAGACAGAAGAATAATAAACATAATATTAAACCAGAAAATCATTAAATCCTAAACAGAAGAGCTTTAACCAGGGAGTTAGAATCCACCTGATGAATCTCTAAAGGCAGGGAATTCCATAACTGTGGTGCTATGAAGCTAAAAGCCCTGCCACCAAATGACTTCATCTTCAATTTGGACTTCATCCAAATTTGGAATGGATAACAGTTCAGCCGCAGAAGATCTAAGTGAGCGCCGAGGAGTGTACCAGTGAAGAAGGTCAGATAGGTAATCGGGTGCAAGGTTTTGAAGAGCTTTGTAAGTTAATAGAAGACTTTTATATTGTACACAAAAGAGAACAGAAAGCCAATGCAAGTAATAGAGAATTGGGGATATGTGTTCAGAAGCACGCGTGTAAGTGACTACCCTAGCTGCTGAGTTCTGGATTAACTGTAATCTGTGAAGTGGGTTAAGAGGAATACCAGATGTGGGGAATAGAAATAATCAATCTTTGTTGTAACCAGAGCATGTACAAGCACTTCAGTATTTTTTTGAGATATTGAAGGGTGAAGTCTTGCAATGTTATGTAAGTGGAAAAAAGGCAGATTGTGAAATATTGCTAATATGTGAATTAAACAACAGCATAATTATTGCTAGAGTAAAGGATTGAGCTTTGGAAAGAACAGACTCAGAGCCAACCAGTAGGGCTTTATTTTTACTGGCATTAAACTTTAAAAAATTACGGGTCATCCACTAATTAATACCTTACAAACATTTATTAGTAGAGATATAAACTTGCATATCATCAGCATAAACATATTAATACATATTACATATTAATCTTAGTCGACAAGTAGTTTCTATGTTTTTTATTTGCTTTCCAGACGACACGAGCATGTGCGCCGCCACAATAATTGCATGTGTGCAGGAATTTGCAAGGGTGGCGAAAGTATCTTGCAATATTAAAATTATGGCAGGTTTGAGTAGAAGAAGTGTTTTGAGAGAAGGGAGGAGGAAGTAGAGAGAGGATAGCAGAAGTAGAGGGGCGGGGTACGTAGCTGGTAGATCGTGGGGTTTGTAGTTCTTTGTCGGAGGAGGGAATTACGAAGGGACAGCAAGTGGTCGGGTGTAGGTTAGAGCGGCAGACCGTGCAGGACAGATTGCGACATCCTAACCGTACGTTCACACCGAAAGCGGCGAAAGCATCCAAGGTTGCTCTGGCCGCCCTGGCGACAACGCTCTCTGCCTTCAGCTCCTGCGGCGAGAGCGTCAAAACTCGCTACATAGATCTCATATTTAAAGGAGCCGTTGCAGCATATCAGTTACATTCCTGCATAAAACATGTTTCTAGCGTGAAAATGTTGCGCACTTCTTATCAAATTCATACAACAATGGAAGATCAAGTAGCGTGTGGCTTTGCTCTATTTATCCAATATGTGTCCATATGTCTGAAATATCCTGAAGCAGCAGTACTGTTTTGTACTGTCACATCGCGTGAGATTTCCGCTTTTTTAAGATAAATATATAACATTAATGAACATCAGTAACTCGCCAGTAACTTATTTAATGCATGTTCCTGTAGGAAAAAATTGTAAATAATTGGAAATCCGGCGACCGCAATAATCAAACCCTTGGGAACAACTGTGGTCGGAACCAAAGTTCACAGGTCTGTGTTCTCTGAACTGCTATCAAGCGATGGACGTCTTCATTCTGATTGCTTGCCGCCGAACCGCGTCATAGCTCATTACTATAAAGTTGACTTCATTTCAACTCTCCTCGACGCTCATGCCGGCGAAGACGCGCCGCACTGCTCCTCGCCGCTTATCGCCGCCGGCTCTCATTGAAAATGAATGACTTCCGGCTACTTTGACGCTCTCACCGCTTTCGGTTTGAACGTACGGTAAGAAAACTCTGTTGTGGAGATCAGTGTCCAAAGCCCCCCAATAAGTGCACTGATTCCACTGAGTGACGCGAATTGCGCATTTAGCTGAGAATAATTTGTGATAAGTGTAGAAATGTTTTCCCCCATAGGAGAGCGCCTCCTATGGGGAAAAACTGCGCAGATGGTTTCTGTGTATCGTGCGAAGGCTACGTGAAATTCGGCAATGGAAAGTGTGCGAGTTTGAGAACTAACTGGTGGTTTAAGAGTAATAGTGAATTCGCCCCTAGCACCTGTCGTTCTGCCGAGAGAGGTGCTACGGTTGAAAGGAGTGTAGAAAGGTCTATGTCGGCACCTGATAGGATGAGGTTTCAGATGGCGTTGGAGATCGGGGGTGGTTCCAGGACTGGAGCATTTTGCGGAATGGGAAGGGGCGTGGCTGTGTTTAGAGTGAAGGGGGGCCTTGCGGAAGAGATGTTAGTATGGAGGGTAGACTGTTGGGGAGGGTTAGTAATGGCGGTGGGTACTTGATGGAGGGATGAAGAGGGGAAAAAGGGGGTATTTAAGGAGGGGAAATTAGTAGGCAGTGGAACGGCGTTAGGGATCGTAGAAAAAGATTGAGTAGGAAAAAACTGAGTTGAAGAATGGGGAAGGTTAGAAGGGAGAATAGAATGGGGAGGGTTGAGAGAGGGGGTGAAATCTGGAAGAGCAGGAATGGAGTTTCCACTGGAATGTGGAGCTGGAGGACAGAGGAGGGGAGTGGGAAGTCCTGGAGTGGGGTAATTTTCGGTGGATTATTTGTATTTTGAAAGGTAATGGTAGCGGGTGCAGACTGTCCAGTAACTTGAGGTAGTTTTTTATTGGTTTTCCTGGTTGCTTTCTTAGGTGGTCCAGGGTGGTTTGTTGCTTACTGTGCAGAAATAGGTTGAGGATAGGGGGTGTGGCAGGAGCGAGTTGGTCTGATGTCCTGAGGGGGAGGAGTTGGTGATGGGGTGGCTTCGTAGAGCTGCAGTAGGTCAGCTTCATTGCAGCGGTTGGGGATGGATATACCAGCGTTTGTGAGGGTCTGGTGGAGTTCGCCGACTGTCATTTTACTTGAAATGAGGGATGAAGATCTGGAGAAGGTAACTTGTGGTTTGGAGTTATGGGGGATGGAGATTGTGGAGATAGCGATGGGTCCTTGAAACTGTAAAGCGGATGGGTCTTCTGCCTCTTATGGGAGCTTCGGTGTTGATTTGGTTTCCGGTCAGAGCTTGTTGTCCTTGTGCTGGTGTTCCTAGGGGAGCGGGTGTATCGGCTCTTTCCATGATGATGTTGTTGTTGTTTTGTTGATGACGTGTCCATTGAATTTTGGGTTTCTGCTGTTGCTGTTGTTGTTGTTGATGTAGGTTGTGATTAATGTAGCAGGCGATGGTACAGTAGATGTCAGAGATAGGAGAGGATTGAAGAGGAGCTGGGTCCGTCCTTCTATGCGTTTCTTCTGGAAACGAAGATAAGGGAATAGTTCTTAGCTAGGTAACTTATAGTGAGTTTGGATCAATCTGATTGGCTAGCTAATGAGTGTAGATGAGTGGCCAGCTGCAGTCAATCATATCACGTGCTCCTCTCGAAATTAATTTGTGAAACTTCATTTAGATTTTTTGGGGAAAAAAAAAAAATTCTACCCATCGGGTAGCTTTTGAGAAAAGCATGTCTAAAGTGAAATCCTTCATGGGTTTTTCAAATTCATTGCAGTCGTGACACACCAACATATCTGGGCCAGTTATGGGTTATTAACGTGGTTGAGACTTGAAACCAGACTTGGTCCAATCATGTACTGTAATTCTCTGCGGCATGTGGGCCAAGCAAAAGCTAATTGTGTGGGCCAGAGCTGGGCAAGAGAAGTTTTGCTATGTAGGATGATAGCAGTGGTGATATCTAAAAGAATAAGTATAGACAAACAGTCAGCAGCTAAGAGAAGATCATTAACAACCTTAGTGAGGGCTGTTTATGTGCTATGTTTAGGGCGGAATCCAGACTGAAAGTGCTCATGGATGTTGTTAGTATGTAGATGGGAGTGAAGTTGAGCTGCTACTGTTCTTTTCAATATTTTGAAAACAAAAAGAAGGTTGGCAGTTGGCCTGAAATTGTTTACATCATTGGGATCTGTACCAGTCTTTTTAAGTAAAGGATTAATAAAAGCTATTTTTAAAGATGAAGGAACAGTAGCAGTAGATAGTAAAGAACAGGCAATAGATGTTATGATGGTAAGAGATTGAATTAGTACAGGACTTAACTAGAATAGTCGGTGGGGGATCAAGTGAACAGGTGGAGATCTCATTAGTAATGAAATCAACCACCGACAGTTCAAAATTAGAAAAAAGTACTTACTGACCAATTACTGGGAATATGATCATAATGATTATCATAAGAAGATAAAACAGGTAAGCAATCCTCGATGAATTTGATCAATCTTAACACTGAGAAAGTTGAGTAGGGTCAAGTGAAAGAGAGTCATGGGACCTCAACAGCTGAGGAAAACTTTTATGTTACAGTGTTTTATGTTGCATTTGTGATTATCATTATGTCCATATAATCCTAATAATTATTATTTCGTTAATTAAATATTTAAAATTATAATACAATATTTTTTTCTGTAAATTTATCACACAAAGAGACAAATAGTTGAATAGTTTTGCAACAACAAGAAAAAATAATCAGTGTTTTGTTTTGTTTTTTTGTGAGAAGAAAATGTTTAAGATTATTAATATTAAACCACTAACTTCATTCTAACTCTTATAGTTCAGTTCACCAGGAGAGATCAGAGCCAGAGCCCAGCTGTGTGTCTATAAGGAGTGACCGCTCTGTGGCTCATCCAATAGATTTTAAGAGTGAAGATACACAGACTCATCTCAGGTATAAGATTTCTACAGAAGACACTATAGAAACTTTTATTTTACAGTGTATTATGTTATGCATTACGTTATCTCCATTTTTTTTATTCTCTAATATTTTCATTTACATATATTATTGACCAGACAATTACACATACTGGGCTCTATTTTGACGGTCCATGCGCAAAACGCAGGGCGCAAATGCTTTCAGGGCGTGTCAGGACGCGTTTTTGCTAATTTAAGGACGGGAATTCTGCCTTGCGCTTTGGCGCATGGTCTAAAAGGGTTGAGTTTATTTTCTTAATGAGTTATAGGTGTGTTTTGAGAATAAACAAATTAGAGTCTCATCTCCCATTCCCTTTAAGAGCCAGCTGCGTCGCGCCAAGAGCGCATTCGCTATTTACAGGACGCAAAGTAAGTCTAAGTGGAAAAAATGAGCATTTCACAAGCAAACAGTTAACAGTTTTTTAACAGAAAACAGTTAAACAGAGCATCTACTGCATGAGAATAAGAGATAATGGATCACTTTTTTTTTCGCTCTTGGATAGGGAAACCTTTACGCACAGACATCAATTAGTCTATAAATAAATAATTTTGTTTGTTAAGCGCAAAGATTCGTTCCAAAACTATTACTAAATTCAGTTCTAATTTCCAGAAAACGAATAAATGAATAATAATAGCAAAATGTGCTCAAAAACCTGAGTTATATCCTAAAACACATACTGTGCCCCATATGGTCTAAAACCTGACAGGTGGGCAAATCTAAGCTTGTTTTAATAAAACAAATATAAATATGGATATAATAAATAATACTGCTAATAATAATAACATTATACAAAAGCAAATTGTTATGAATGAACTGAAAAAGCCTCCCGAGATGAAGAAGACATAAAAGCAGTGGTTTTTCATATTTATGTAGGCTAGAAAATAATATGTTTTGTAATATTTTAAATCTTTTATATTTATATCCTATATCTATTCTTATTATATCCTATATATATATCCTTAATATTTACATTTTTTCATATGTAAAGATATTTGCCTATTGCTCTCTTGTGCGTATTAAGCAGTGCGTAAGCGAGGCGCAACTCTGCGCCGGAGTTTAGACCGGGTTAGTTTTGGTCTAATGAACTATTTATTATAGTTTCTCAAAATACCGACGCGCCAGCGGTCCGCCTCAGAACGCCTTCCTTTATAGACCAGAACGCCTATGGGCGGAAAAATGAGCGCTAATGCATTTGCTATTTAAACAGCGTAGCGCAACGCCTCAAAACGACTCTTGCGCCAATCTTAACTACCAAAAGACTACTGCGTCACGCCTTGCGCCACACTGCGCCGGGTGTATGATAGGGCCCATAGTGTGTAAAATGCTCAGTTTCCCTTTTTATGAACAGTGTAAAATAAATGATTATTCTACTAGGAGTACTTTCTTCCTTGCTCTTATTTCTTTTGTTTGATGAAGTTTTTTGTTTCCTTTGTCATCGTTTTCTAATTCTCTCATTAGTTTACTCAGTAGTTACTTTTGAAGTGTAAATTGAAGAACTCAACTGGGGGATGTGCTCGCTACATTTTAAACAGGATAATAAAGTTATAATATTAAAATGTAGAGGTCATGAATATGTCAATACTTGATTTAAATTTTTGTATAAGAAAAAAAAGATGTTCTTAAAAACAAACTTGAGATCATCTTAAGATTTTTTTAAAATTGCACTTTAGAAAACATCCAACTCAAGACCAATGCCAGAACAATCATACCTTAATTAACTGTTGTTTACAGTAAGCTTTTATTTATGACAGAGAATGCAATTTTCTGAAAATGAGAATATGATTGTATTTCTTGTAGTACATTTCATCAGAAGAGGAAAGAAGCAGATCCCAGCTGTGTGTCTATGAGGAGTGATACGTTTATGAATCAGCCAATAAATATAAAGATTGGAGAAACACAGAATGATCTCAAGTAAAATGTTTCTGTAAAAGATTTGATTCAATTATGATACAGAAATTAAAAAGGCAGCATGCTTATTAAGTCATGTTGTTATGTGAAAATTTCCAGACAAAACCTGCTGAACACATTTAGATCAAATCTGCTGAAGAAGTTTGAGTGTCTGTATGAGGGAACAGCGGTGCAGGGAAACCCAACACTCCTGAATGAGATCTACACAGAGCTCTACATCACAGAGAGTGAGAGTGGAGAGATCAGTCATGAGCATGAGGTGAGACAGATTGAGACACAATCCAGGAGATCAACAACAGAGGACACAGCGATCAAATGCAGAGACATCTTTACACCTTTACCTGGACAGAACAAAGCCATCAGAACTGTGCTGACGAAGGGAGTCGCTGGCATTGGAAAAACAGTCTCTGTACAGAAGTTCATCCTGGACTGGGCTGAAGAGAAGGAGAATCAGGACGTCCAGCTCATATTTCCACTTCCTTTCAGAGAGATCAATCTGATGAAGGACAAAACACTCAGTCTGTCAGATCTTCTTCAGCTCTTTTTCCCTCAAACTAAAGAAATGGAAATATCCAGTGAGAAATATAAAGTGCTGTTCATCTTTGATGGTCTGGACGAGTGTCGTCTGTCTCTGGATTTTCAGAGCGCTGTGAGGTTGTGTGACGTCAGTGAATCCGCCTCAGTGGACGTGCTGCTGACCAACCTGATTGTGGGGAATCTGCTTCCCTCTGCTCTCATCTGGATCACCTCCAGACCAGCAGCAGCAGATCTCGTCCCCTCTGAGTGTGTCCATCGAGTGACAGAGGTACGAGGCTTCAATGACCCACAGAAGGAGGAATACTTCAGCAAGAGAATCAGTGATCAGAGTCTGGCCAATACAATCATCTCACACCTGAAGTCCTCCAGGAGCCTCTACATCATGTGCCACATCCCAGTGTTCTGCTGGATCTCAGCCACTGTTCTGGAGAAGATGTTGAGTGAAGCAGAGACTGCAGAGATTCCCAAGACTCTCACTCAGATGTACACACACTTCCTGATCCTGCAGACCAACATCAAACATCAGAAGGACTATGAGGAGAAGCTGACAGATGAAGACATGATCCTCAAACTGGGGAAAGTGGCTTTTCAGCAGCTCATGAAAGGCAATATAATCTTCTATGAGGAAGACCTGAGAGAGTGTGGCATTGATGTGGCAGAAGCTTCAGTTTACTCAGGATTGTGCACTCAGATCTTCAGAGAGGAGTTTGGCTTGTATCAGGGGAAAGTCTTCAGCTTTGTTCATCTGAGCATTCAGGAACATCTAGCAGCTCTATATGTGCACCTCTCCTGTTTAAACAACAACAGAAATGAGTTTGAGCAAATCAGCAAACAGAGTTTGTGGTCTAAAGTTAGGGACCATTTTCACTTTAATTCATCAAAACTTGTTTCAATATCCAAACTGCATCAGCGAGCTGTAAATGAGGCTCTACAGAGTAAAAATGGACATCTGGATCTTTTCCTGCGGTTTCTTCTGGGTCTGTCAGTGGAGTCTCATCAGATTCTTCTACAAGGACTAATGAAACTGAAAATCAGATCAATCCAGAATAATGAGACAGTTGAGTACATCAAGAAGAAGATCAGGAAAATTAATTTTCCAGAGAAATTCATCAATCTCTTTCACTGTCTGAATGAACTGGGTGATCATTCACTAGTGGAGGAAATACAGCAGTTCCTGAAATCTGGAGGAATGAATGAAGCCAAACTCTCCTCATCTCAGTGGTCAGCTGTAGTTTTTGTGTTGTTGACATCAGAGAAGAAGCTGGAGAAGTTTGATATTAATGAATTTGCTGCTCGAAACAATAATACTGAACAACTGTTCATTTTTAAGAAGCTGCAGCCTGTGATTAGACAATGCAGATCAGTTCAGTAAGTATTACCATCTCTGTTTTCGTCATCCTGTTTGCTTCAGATATACAGAAATAAAATATCTTAAATATTTTTCAGTCAAGTTGGTTTTTGACTTAGATTTCAAGAGTTCACACTTGAATATGCTTGAAACTAATAGTAGGTTTGGCATGCTGTCCAGGGCTGAGTCCTGGGCTCCTGCCTGGTGAATAAGCATATAAGGGGTCAAGATCAATTCAAGATCAGGTAATTCTCGATAGCTCCCCAAATTGCTATTAACTCGGGACAGCAGCTGTGTATTTCGAAGAATCTCCCCCCAAATACTAGAATGAATTACTATATCCAGCTGGATATACCTAGGCCATTTAGTGATTTATAGACAAGTAATAATACTTTAAAATCTATTCTGACAGTTGCTGGGAGCCAGTGTAAAGACCTGACAATTTCTGGTTAGAATCCTGGCCGCAGCGTTCTGGATGAGCTGTAACTGTCTGACTGTCTTTTTGGGGAGGCCAGTGAAGAGGCTGTTACAGTAATCCACCCTGCTGTTGATAAAAGCATGAACAAGTTCTCACTAGAAACAAAGCATCTAATTCTTTCAATGTTTTTTTTAATGATAGTATGCTGATTTACTAACTGCTTTGATATGACTACTGAAACTTATATCTGACTCCAGAATAACACCAAGATTCTTGACCTTATTTATTTATTTTTTACCTTTAGTGCTAAGGTACTCATTCACCTTGAGAACCTCATCTCTGTGCCCAAACGCAATGACTTCAGTTTTCTCTTTGTTTAACTTACGAAAGTTTTGGAACATCCAACTGTTCATTTCATCAATGCATTGGCAGAGGGTGTCAATGGGGCTGTAGTCATTAGGCAGTAAGGCTAGGTAGATCTGAGTGTCATCAGCATAGCTGTGGTAGGAGATTTGGTTCTTTCTCATTATTTGGCTCAGAGGGAGCATGTAAAGGTTGAACAGTAGAGGTGCCAGAATCGAACCTTGTGGGACTCCACATGTCATGGGTGTCCACCTTGACCTATGGTCACCTATACTGACATAGTAACCTCTCCCTTTAAGGTAAGATCTGAACGATTTGAAGACCATCCCAGACAGCCCAACCCAGTGTTTCAGCCTATCCAGAAGTATGCTGTGATCGACAATATCAAATACAGCACTTAGATCCAGCAGTACCAGCACTGTTATTTTACCTGAATCTGTATTTAGGTAGATATCATTGATTATTTTTATAAGGGCGCTTTCTGTACTGTGATGTGCTCTGAAACCACATTGAAAATTGTCTAAACGCCCCTTGGAGCTTAGGAACTTGTTAACCTGGTTAAAAACAAATTTTTTTAATGATTTTGCCAATGAAAGGAAGATTTGAGATTGGCCTGTTATTGCTCAATAGGGTGTTATCCAGGTTGCTCTTCTTCAAGAGGGGTTTAACAACTGCAGTTTTAAGTGAGTTTGGAAAAATCCCTGAGAGAAGTGAAGCATTTACCACTTTTAGAAGATCCATTTCTAAACAGTTAAACACAGTTTTGAAGATGTTTTGATTGTTTCATAATTTGCACGATTTTACCATTAATTGCCATGAAATCAGACATAATGTCTGATTTCTTAGGTTGTGGTTGAGCTTGTCTGACTTTGACACAACTTGGCTGATTGGATGAGCTGATTGCCTTTCTTATAATATTGATCTTGTCAGTAAAGAAATTAGCAAACTTATTACACTTGCTTTCAAAAAGTAGTTCACTGGGAATTCTACCTTTCAGTGCTATACTCATATATTCAAAAGACAAATACTTACCAAATGACACTTGTTTACACACACATACATCTTTAAACAGAGCAGCAGTGCCTCCACCTCTCCTATTAACTCTGCAAACACTCAAAAAACTCTAAGTTTAAAGGAGCTGTTTCATTCAGGACTGCTGCGCTACAACTATCATCTAGCCACGTTTCATTTAAAAGCATAAAATCAAGGCAATTTGTGTTGATAAAATCATTGACTAGAAGTGACTTATTGTTAAGTTGTTGTAAAAATAACAGTTTTAGCTGTTTTCCCTACAGTAGTCTCAGATCTACATTTAATTGGACTCATGTATAAAAGACATTAAGTCTTGGATGGCACTGAATTTTCTCCATCTTAAGGATTCTAAGACCGAAGTGATGGTGTTTGGCCCCAGTTTCAACATTGCTCATTCTGTATACCTGAATAATCTTGAAACTTTCTGTAAGCCAGAGATTGTAAACCTGGGTTTTAAAATGTATCCTGAACTAAAGCTTAAAAGCCAGATTATGTCTGTTGTACGCTCTAGCTTCTTTCTCTTAAGACAACTTGCTAAAATCAAGCATGTTTTATCACTTTATCACAAGCAATTTGAAACAGTAATCGATGCTTTTATAACCTCCTACTTGGACTACTGCAATGCCCTTTATTTTGGGATAAGTCAGTCTTCTATTTCTTTACTCCAACTTGTTCAAAATGCAGCTGCACGTCTTTTAACTGGCACACGCAAATACGAGCACATCACCCTGATTTTATCTTCTCTTCACTGGCTGCCCGTGCACTTCAGGATCCATTTTAAGTTACTTTTATTTGTTTTTAAGTGTCTAAATGGTACAGCACCCCTTTAACTCTGAGCTTCTCTGTCCTTACACACCTTCTCGTTAGCTCAGGTTAGATGTGCCCAGGACCAGTCGAAAGCTCATTGGGGATCGGGCTTTTGCTGTGACTGCACCAAAACTGTGGAATGAGTTGCATATTAGACAAGCCTTTTCCATTATTGTTTTTAAATCTCTACTTAAAACCCACTTGTTCAATTTGGCTTTTAGCACTGCGTGAAATGTTGACATTTTATGTTTATTTATTTGTATTTTAAAGTTTGTTTTACTCTCTGTTGTCAGCACTTTGGACGACTGTGTTGTTTGAAAGTGCTTTATAAATAAATTAAATTGACTTGAATAATAAACACCAGATTTGAATGATTTGCTATATGGCTTGAAGAAGTCATTGGTGTTTTGTCATGTAATAAAACACATAGGCGAAGAGAAAGCTACAAGCACATTGTGTTCCTGCTTGTTCTGTAAACATTTGATAAAGATACTGTTATCTAAGCAGGCACCCGACACATCACTGAAAGCTGTTCTGTTCACCAGCTGTAGATGGGGCATTGTTTGGGCCCTGGCGGTGTGGCAAAAGTCTGTGGGCTCAGAGGTGGTTGTGGAGAAGGCCACTTTTTGGTTGATAACTGGGGGTTCCCAGCAAACACCAGTTCCTCCATCTTTTTTGAAAAACCCAAGAGAGACGAGCAAGGTGACAATGAGAGCGTGTTTGGTGACAGAGGCTGTGGGTCTGGAGATTCCGGCTGCTGAAATATATTTTCCTGGCTGTTTTCCTGAGGATCCTTGTTGAGTGCGGAGATTTGATGTTGTTCTGGTGCTTCACAGTCTGTGTGGAGTTTAGCATGCAGGGCACAAACGGCTGTGTCTCTTTCAACCAAGGCTCATTCTTAAAATGTAGTCCCATGGACGTTTCAGGAGAGCGCGAAATACATCGCGGGAGGTACTTATTTTTTCAGTTTTTGTTTTTGCAAATTGACAATAGGAAATATGTCTCTCGAGTGCTGTTTGCACCCACGCTGTTCTCGCATAAACCCACCAGAGGCTGCTGTTGAATGACCGTCTGTCTATCTGACTGACTAAATAATTGACTGTGCGATAGGCCAATCGATCAGCCCACTCTCCTCCTTCCTTAACCCAACCAATTTTACCGATTGACCCGCCCACCCACTTACTTTCCTAAACCCAATCAACAATTTATAAAAGCTTTCCAGAAAAAGAAAAGGCCTCGTCTGATTTTTACCACGTTTCGGATTTTACCACATTCTCACCGTGTTATGAACTTGTTTACTTTATTTTTTGGATTCTGTTTTTGTCTCATCTGATTTCTGGAACCACTCTTCCTCAGACTTGAACCCGGTCGTCATTGTCATGGTCAGCTCCTCTCCGTCTCAAGTCTGCCACGGGACTACATTTGCAGAATGAGCCTGGGTTGTTCTCTATAAACAATGGCTGTTTTGGCTGCATGGCATTATCACTGTCTTTGTGTGATGCATCAGCCCCAAGTCCAGTCAGGACCTGATTTGAGGTGCAGTGGTCATTTGGACATTTGCTAGTTGTGTTTGTGTGTGCCATTTGGGTTAAGTTTAGTGGCACATACAGCTGATGGATGATGAAGGGAGAAATAGATATTGTTCTTTAGCACTTTTCCACCAAGTTTGTTTGGATCAAGGCAGTCGGATGTAAATAGTTGTCTTTGCTTCCCGAGGAGATTGAAGTTGTCGATAAAATTCAGTCCTGTCCTGTTACATGTTTTCTGCAGCCATACATTTAAGCCAAGAAGCCGTAAAACATATTTGTCCCTCTTGCAGGGAATGGTCCACTGATGAACGGCTGAATTAAAAATTTTTCGACTGTTTTCAAGAGTTCACAGAAATCTCTCTTTAGCAGTTCTGGCTGTTGCTTCCGAATATCATTCTTCCCCACATGGATGATAATCCATTTTGCACCCCGCGAGAACCTTTTGGTCTCGCACCTTGTTTTTGCCATCGATTATCATGGTCATTTTCAACAGTTTCATTCTGTTTTTCTGTGCTCAAAGCAGTAGCTGGAGTAGATTTATGGGACTCACCGGCTGTATACTGTAAAGGTCCACAATGATGTGGTCCTGTGTGATCTGGCAGTTCTGGTCGAATCGCAAGTAACTTTGTTTTAAGAACTGCAATCTTTTGTAGAAGTTTGTGGCAGTTTGTGCAGCAGTGAGACTCTAAATTAATTCGAACTGGAGGCATTTTCACAGCCGTGTTTTCTCCCAGGAGTTTTTGTCTCAGGAATGTAAGCAGCTGGCAGCTGGAGGATTGTTTAGTCGATAATTCCGCTCTTGTTAGTAAAGTTGTATTCCAGAAAGTTTTAAGATTTGATGTTGATCTGTAAGCTGTGTTGTTTGAGCACT